CGGCTCATCGCCAATGCCCACACACTCAACCGAACAATCGATACAGGAAAAAAAGAAGTCAAAAGGGATTCAATTCAATTCGATTCGACTCGACTCGACTCGATTCTCCCTCCCAGGCTCTTCATTAAAGCGGCTCAGTGAATAAATTCGGAGGAGAATCGAACTGTAACTTTCTCATAAATTTGTAAATAACACCGTTTATCTGGAGAGCACAATCCCAAAAGCCAGAACCGGAAAAATAAACTGACCCGATCGAATGAAGCTGTCCATCAAAGTGGTTGCCAAACATCATTACCCGAAACAGCTTTCACAATGAGTCTTCACATTCGCAGTCCGAACTGGGAGTCAACCGTTTTTTCGGCAACTCTGTCCACTCATCCGGCCACAAGGTCACCTGGACAACAGATTCGATTATCCTGTCCAGGGAGCGGTGCTTAAGGATCCATCCAAACAGAGGCTCTTTGTGGATGCTTTCGCCAGCACTTAATGAGAATCCCCTTCGTTGGTTGGCCACATTTCCACACTGAGAATACATTTACGAGGAAAATCGAATTTTTAACTAAAAGAAAAAGCTACCTTTAGATCATTTTTTGCCAATTTGTTTTGTATTCCTAAAGGAATTGCCTGTCTTTCGATATTGACGTTTCCAAATTATATTTTATACAAAATGTTCTCTACCAAAAGTTTCCTCGGTTTTCAAAAGGGACAATATATTAGCGTCAAAATATTTATATTAATATGTATGTATATATATATTGTAGATAGGTCTGTTAGGTTTAGCTGATAATTTTTCTGAGTGAAGGCTATCGCCCCCTAATTTTTTTGCAAATGCAGTGAGGGTTCGCGTTTACGCTGCTGCATTCCCAGCGAAATCCAATTGCTTCTGCGGGGAGTGTCTCCTCGGTTGCATTGCTCTTTTGCTGGCCAAGTACAAAAGTCATTGGCCTGGTCGAAAGCTGCACTGGAACAGCAGCATGAATAAGTCAATGTCTGCCAATTTATTGGTGGGTTGGAGGGATGGAGCCACTCCCTTTTGGCAACGCCTTTGGCATTGTGCTTTTACAGCACAACTTTCGACATTGAGTTATAAGTATTTTGTGCTCGGTCGTTGGTTTAATCAAGCATGAAATAATCCAATCGTAGCAGAAATATAGTGTATGGAGGAACCATGATTAGGTTATTGACTCGCCAACTTGAAATACTTACAAACGCACTGCTCTAAACAGCACTTTAAGTGGGAACTTAAATCCTGTTAACAAGAAAAAGGGGAGCGAGTCGTAAGTAAGGATTACGCCGCGTATACGCAATTATATCACCGTAATTAATTAAACACCCGACAGCTGCAGGTGAAAATAAGCACGGTGGAAAATCGGGATTTGCATTAGCACAACCCTCTTATGGAATTCAGTAAAGTCGTCTAAGAAAAATTCTTGAAAAGGGAAAAATTAGCAAGTGAAAAGGCGCTTTCGTTTATGAATACTATTTTCCTGAATAATTCGCAATCAGGACTCGTAAGCCTTAATTAACGTTATTCAAGCCAGCACCTGTATTTGCTGTACATACAGGACCCAGTGAAATTCCAAAGCCAAAACATCTGGCAGCCAATTAGCCTAATCCAGTTAGCTTTTGGGCCAGAAATTTTGAAGCAATTATCGTGACAAGTGAAGTGGAGCTACACACATGCCTAGCCAGACACAAAAACACACAAAAACACAACATCCATGCCACGGCAGCAACAACAACAAAAACGAAAACTGATTGATGCCCGTCACCTGTGCGGAGCGTTGAAAAAAGGGGGGAAGGGGGGCTTATCCTGCCTCTGTGGTGTCTGCTCATAAATCGCAAACGAATCAGCGAATGCTTCAAATGACTTCATTAAAAAGCGTAACACACGCACCCAGGGAAACACTGAAAATTGGGTGATAGAGAAAGTACACAGTGAGAAGTCACCAAAGAAACCAGGAACCAATTAAATTTTGACTATTTTTTGAATACTATTATAACATTTCGGGTGGTGATGTTATTCTTAAGAAAATAAGTAGATATAAATAAGTTTATCTAGAGTTATAAGACTATAATTTTAGAAGCGCTGTTAACAAGTAAAGTAGCTAAAGATGAAAAAAATATGATTAAAACATCATATTTCTGGTTATGATAAACAAATAATTCCCTCAGGGATTAATATTCTAAAAAAAATCTTGAAAAACATAAAATTTTAAAAACCTATTGATAACAACATTTTGAAAATGTTTGCAGTTTAAATGTAAAAAAAATAAAGAAATAGCTTTATATATTTTCCGTGTAAAAATAGAAGCATTGTCAGCAGGCTCAGTCAAGTGTACATGGGGATAAGTAGGGAACGGTTGAGGGGGAGATAAGAACAGTTGGAGTGGGGCAAAAGAGACCCACTCTCCCTATCCATTATCCTTGGCCCCACAGCCTGCTCATCCCTTGAGCCTCCGCTTCGATTCGCTATTAGCAAGGACTCAAATTCGATGAAATCCGGCCCTTTGTCTCCAAAAAACAGCAGCAGATGGGAAACTTTCCCAAGATCCCAGAGTATCGCCCCAAGGACTTGAACTTTTCCCGTGACATTTTCCGCCATTGTAAACAATTGCTGGCATTTCGTTTTTGCAGAGCGTGAGAAACTTTCGAGGAATCTATTCAAATTATAGCTTAGCAGGTCCTAATTGGAGCCAAATGTTTGAGTAGTGGCCGAAACAATCGATAGGTGTCATTCTGAGGGGGGCGGAAAGTGGCTAAGTTGAAACCCGAGGCAATCGCAACTAAGAAACAAACTAACGCCGACACGAATCTGGCAATTGTGAAATTCTTTTCATTTTAAGGATAGTCCTCTCCTTGAGCCAACTACTTAGAACTTTAACTGGAAAAGTTTTCTGGTTTTTACCAGTTTTTGTTTTGTTTTTCGTTCTTTGTTTTCTTTTATTATTCCTCCCATGTTCCACTTCCTTGCGTGCGCTTTATTCTCTCCACATCCTGCCACTGATTTGCCGCTATTGTGTCATTGTCCAAAATTCTATTATGACCCACAAAAGTAAACGGAAACAAAAAATAAGAAAAAACACGGCTGTGGTGTGGGTTATTGTAGCATAAAGCTCCGCATTTTAAGACGTAGGAAGGGACTTTAATGGGAGGCTAATGATAATCGGCTTGGTCAACGACCTGTTTGCCACGCAAATTAGTGCTTTTTAAGAGCCACGGATACGCTAAATCTGATTGGAAACTTTAATAGAAATCAATAAACAAAAACTATCATGTGGAAATGAAACCAATTTAAAAGTTCCAAACTGACAATTTGGCTTAGACAAAGTTGGGTTTTCAAAAACTTTTGATTACAACTTTTAATTGATTTGCAATAAATATGGCCAGACGGGGGAAGTTTTTGGTTAAACGTTAGGCAACGCACACAGGCAACCCCCAGTTTACTTGGCCCAGAATAATCCTAATGCTCCACTTGATTATATAGGATTTTGTAAGCGTTTTCTGTAAATCACTGTGATTTGCATACAACGCGTTTTTTAATCCAATGTTGTCGCAGACAAGACCCAAGTTAAGAATTTGAATACAAACGACACGCCTCCCATTAAGTATGCAAACATTTCACGTGTTTTTTGGGCCCGCTTTTTTTTAGCCTGGCCAACAATCACGCGGCGGCTGTTACTCACAAATTCCGTATGTTCTTCAGCTAGCTGCTGCCACTTTTTGAATAAGATTTGCATTCGCTGGGGGTTTTATTAAAAATTATATAATTTTATTTTTAGCTAGGCAAACGGAAACAGGCCGAAGAGATAGACGCACAAACACACACGCGCACACATAGACACGCGGCCCCTTTTCTTTTTTTACTCCAAGCACATTTCAGTACCGTTAGGGATCCTTTGAGTCCTACTTTCCGTTATTCTAGCTTTTTCCTTTAGCAGCGAGCACGACCAAAAGCATCGAGTGTTGAAACGCGACTGAGGCTTCAGTGGCGGAGAAAGAGGCCAAAAAGAGAGACAGAGAGAGATAGAGAGAAATTCGGGATGGAGGAAAAGCGATGTCCCCAAAATGAACGCGCAAAAAAGAGAGGCGGTGGGTGGTAAGGGGCGTGTGGCGTCGAAAACACGAGGACGCGCGAAATTGTGTCGAAAAGGCGGGCAGAAGAAGCAGCTGACACATATTTCGCTTTGTTTTGGTTGTGGCCCCAACCGGCAATCCTGCTCTCTCGCACTTGCGCACTTAAAGCCTCTCTCTCTCATTCAGTTGGTCTTAAACTAGGCATAAATAAATGACAAACTCGTAGTTTTTATTCGTAACGGGTCAGTGTTTTCGTAGCTCTGATTGTGGATCCTCTCCCGATTTTTCCCATCCTTTCGTTGGCGTTCATTCTATTGATTATCCCTTTGGTTCGCTTTCCGGTGAACTCTTTGTTTACGAATCTCAGTGCCACAAGGCATCAATGGAGAAGTGCGTGTGATTGTGTTAGTGAGTGAATGAATCCACGAGAGTAAGTAACACAGTAACACGGCACCCATTCACCCACACTGGCTTTCTCCCTCTCCCAGTTAGGTTGAATGACACTGGGCCTACCGCCCCTCTCCTCCCTTTCACCTACCCCACCCGTTATTGCATTTCCCGTTTTATGGCACATGTTTCGCACGTTGTCCTCAATTCCAAACGGGATGCTCTCGCTTTGGTAGTGAGTGTGTGTGTGTTCTTTCACGTCATCGTTTTCAAATGCACATGCAAGCCAAAAAGAGACAGACAAATGGCCAACCCGCTGGGCTCATAACTGCAAATGAGCAAAATTAACGGCTTTTACATGCCCCGTTTTCTTTTGTTACGCTTTTCCGTTTAGTTTGCTGGCCAGTGTTACGTTATTTTCCAATTACCGCCCGAAAGTATGCAATTAGAGATAAAAACAGTTTTTAAGCGATACTCGGAAGAAGCGATAGTTATTTTAATCGAACCCGACAGACAATTGTTGTTTACACCCGCACGCACACATTTGCCTAAGTAAACAGAAACACAATGCGCCGGTAAAAAGTGTAAATAAAAGCAACTAAGAATTGTCAACAAAACGGTGACCACACTGAATAATTCAGTAAGTGCCGCAACGCTTTGTGGACTAGCGGTATTAAAGCACGGCTTAGCGAACTTTGTTCCCACATTCGGCGGCTGAAATTCCCAGTGAAAACAACAACAGAACAACAGAGCAAACTAGAAGAAGAAGAACATTTTAGAATGAGCAGTGAAACGGAGGAGAAAAGAGCCAAGGTACAGATTTAAATTGCAATTCGGAATCATCTATCAGTTGCAAAGTGCACTGAGAAAAATTCGTTATGTGCTTATAGTAAAAATGTATAAATTGTTACTAAAATTGAGTCAAACTTGTATAGCTCGAAGTTCCTTTTTCAAACTGAAGCTTGAGCTATCGAAGTTTGACTTCATCTTTAAACACTACTATTTTTTATTTAGAAAAGTAAAAAGCTTTGCAAAAAATAAGTTTTTGATTTTATAAACACTTTTATAAATTGCCTATAAAACAACATTTATGCATTTTTATGTTTTCTACTTTTTCTGAAAATAAAACATCCTAGTTAACCCATCCATAAAATTCTGTTAAAATTGCTCTATAACATAAAAGATTATCATCCAGTGTTCTTTTTTAAGTGTTTTCAAATTACGCTAATCATGAAAAATTTGGCTAACAGAAAATGTATCTGTTTATTTTCTCTCAAAAAACAAATATATATGTTTATTGGGTTGTGATAGGTGTGAAGAAATGAGATAAGAACCGGGGATAAATATGTATATCTAGCCGGCATTTTACTAGGGCTCTAATTAATTGATATATCGAGTTGGTCAAGTTCAGAATTATGTTTAGCCCAAGCGGAAGTTATGTAGTCATTTCTCGCAGTAAAGTGTTAATGAAAACTTCGACTCCCCTCAACCCACCCACTGCCCCAGTACTTATAGATAAGATATGCCAGCTAGAAGAGAGTACGAAAAAAGCTAGAGAGGTAATATGAGACCGGTACTTTAGGATAACCAATGCAGCGGAGCGTTCAGTTGAGCGTTAGATGCCGTGGCGATCGGTTGTTCGGTGGACCTTGACCAAAAACCAAAAACCGGATAGGAAAACTCGGTGAAATGAGTGAGAAGAATGTGCGAAGGCGCGTAATCACGCCTACCAGCGATCCTCCGAATACGGATCCATTGCTCCGGCCTCGTGGTTCCCATCAGTATGAGGTAAGCACCCACTTTGGATCCTTGATTAGATTGCCATGGCTCTTTATTTGGGTGTGGCATGGGCTAATCGCCCACGATCTAAGCAGCCGCAACATGATTATTACCCATGGCTGAAAGCCGAAAAAGAATCGATTCTTATTTTTGGCGGCGTGAGTGCAATACTTATCTTGAAATGGGAGGTCGTTAATTAACGAACAGTGGATACCCTTGAGATAGCATTCCCCATTCTGGCCTAGTTGCACCCTCCGTTTATCTATCAGTCTGGGGTTTAGTTTATTGGAACAAGGAGGCATACTATCCCACCTATGACTTCTTCGATTTTCGGTGGCAACAGTTTCTGCGACTTTGCCGACTGCCAAGTTGACCAGTGATAAGATAACCGCTAATGGATTAAATCTAACATTCGATTTGTACATATAGTCGACTCCAGTTGTGCAACTGACTCACTTTTAGGTCTGGCTAAAATCGGTTTTTGTGTGAATGAAATTGACCCAAAAGTGGGCTTATCGGTTACCGGTTTAGATAAATTTATAAAAAAAAAGTACTAGGAAAAGTTCCATATGGTTATGGGTTTTAGTAAATTCCTAATCAAACTTTAGTATAGTTTTAATGCTTTTATCTAACACCTCTTGTAATAGTTAGTTTTAAAAGCGCAACAGAAGTGTTCCCGAAATTATACCATCATGAGTAGCCCTATTTCGCACTTTAAAAACTCATAGTATTTCTCTTTTTTGAACTGTGTTGGCTTTTAGTTTTTTTAACATTCAAGTTTATGTGACTTTTTGCCTGAAAAGTAAAACCGCAATATCCTATTAATGACATATATTAATTAGTAAAAAAAAATCTACATAATTTAGTTATTTTAAATATTATTTTCACTAATCATCAAACAGTTAAGATTTTTTTTATCTATGATAATAACTTTCTCCATTTTAGGCTCAGCCCAATGGATGTGAGCGGGCTTTTGTCCGGAGGGACAAGATCAAATGGTTCTGGGCACCGGCATTCTTTGCCTTCTGGCTTCTGCTCTATGTGACCATCTCGATCCCCGCCAGCCACCGCCTTCCCCGTCCACTGACCATTCAGGATGAGGCCAAGCACCCCGATCAGTTCATCGCCGAGCGGGCAGAGAATAATCTACGGGAATTGGTGAGTCTGGGACCCCGAGTGGTGGGCAGTCGGCAGAACGAGATGGCTGCCCTGAAGATGCTCTCCCAAAAGATGCAGAAGATTCGCTCTGGTTCAGCCAACGACATTGAAGTGGATGTTCAGGTGGCCTCCGGCAGCTATGTCCACTGGTCGATGGTCAACATGTACCAGAGCATCCAGAACATTGTGGTGAAGATCAGTCCCAAGAACACAAATAGTACGACTTACCTTCTGGTGAACAGTCACTACGATTCCGTACCAGCTGGACCTGGTGCTGGTGACGATGGCTCAATGGTGGCCACCATGATGGAGGTTCTACGTGTATTAGCCAAATCCGACAAGCCCCTGAAGAATCCAGTGGTGTTCCTGTTCAACGGAGCCGAAGAAAATCCCCTGCAGGCCTCGCATGCTTTTATCACCCAACACAAGTGGGCCAAATACTGCAAGTAGGTCAATTAAATATCTTTTATATAAACATAATTTAATAATTAAACTTTCTATTAAAGGGCCCTCATCAATCTGGATTCCTGTGGCAATGGCGGTCGGGAGATCCTCTTCCAATCTGGACCCAATCATCCCTGGCTGATGAAGAACTACCGACGTGCCATCAAGCATCCTTATGCTTCTACCATGGGCGAAGAGCTCTTCCAGCATAACTTCATTCCTTCTGACACTGATTTCCGCATCTTCCGTGATCACGGATCGGTTCCTGGACTGGATATGGCCTACACCTACAATGGATATGTTTACCACACGCGACACGACAAGGCTGAGATCTTTCCCAGGGGAAGTTTTCAGCACACTGGTGACAATCTGTTGGCCCTGGTTAAAGAGATTGCCAACAGTCCGGAGATCGAGGATTCTTCGGTGAGTTTAACGATTACCTAACATTAAAAACTGGTTAACTAATTATCTATCTTGTTATTTTAGAAATACGCCAAAGGACACACCATCTACTTTGATGTGATGGGCTGGTTCCTGGTTTTCTACACCGAAACCCAGGGAGTTATTCTCAACGTGATTGTGGCTCTGACCTCCCTTGGTATTTGTGGCTATGCCTTCAAGTTGATGTCGGTCAACTCGGGCATTAAACTGGAGAAGATCCTCAAGCGGGTTCTGCACACACTTCTCGTACAGATTCTGTCTGTTGTTGTGGGAGCCATTCTGCCAGTTCTCCTGGGTCTTTTCATGGATGCCGTGCATTTGCCTCTGTCTTGGTTCACAAACTCCTGGCTCATTTTGGGTCTATACTTTACCACTTTCTTCTTTGGCTTGGCTATAGTGCCAGCTATGTACTTCCACTGGACCAAGGATGTGAGTTATTAATGGTTAATTGTAAGATATAAAACTAAAAGGGAATCTCTTTCAGGATAAACTGCCCCCTGGTCAGCGCATTCAGCTGTTGCTGCACTCCCACTGCGTTCTTTTGGCTTTCCTCACTTTGATCTTGACCATCTGTGGAATTCGCTCTGTTTTTGTTCTGATGCTCAGTTGTTTGTTCTATACCATGGGTTTGATCATTAACATTGCCACCAAATTGGACCGGAAGGGTAAGCTATGCTGAAATTCTATGTACACCGATTTATAACAAATATTTTTTAAATAGCTGTCTCCTGGGTCATTCCACACATTGTCTGCACTGTTCAACCTTTCGTGTTCTTCGCATACTTCTCTCATGGATTCTTCACCACCTTTATTCCCATGTTCGGTCGCTTTGGCGAGAACCTCAATCCCGACTTGGCTGTGGCTGTCTTCAGTGTTGCCGTTGGCTTCCTGTGCTGTGGTTTTATTATACCTGTTCTGCAGCTGTTCAACAAATCGAAGACCATCATCTGTGGCCTGCTGGGCGTCACTTTACTGTGCTTCATTATTGCAATGACTCCATTGGGATTCCCCTATCGGCCAGACACCAATGTCCAACGATTCGCAGTATTGGTACGAAACCATCAAGTTATTGTAAAAGTAATACGTGTAAACTTTACTGCTCTTTATATTAGCACACCAAACGAACCTTCCACGACGCCGAGAACCATGTGCGCCGCCAGGAATCTGGTTACTTCATTATGCCCCAGGACAGACGCACTTACACAGTCAAAAGTGAGTTGTAGCGGCCTTTAATTTACTGGTTTATGAACTTATTTATTGATTTTCTGTCTGCCAGATGCCGTTATCAACATGACGCTTGCCCAACGGATTGGTTCTGATTGCGACAAGGAAATCAACTGCGGATTACCACTCTACAATCAGCGCTGGCACAAGACCAGGTGGGTTACCTATAAAATCGAAAATTAAATGTTAAGTTGTTAAACTTCGAAATCCTAATCTTTGCAGAAAGAACAGCTTGTGGATTCCGGCTTCTGAGCCAGTTCTTGGCGAAGATATACCCTCGGTTTTATTGCTGGCTAAAAAGCAACTAACCACCTACAAAGTTCGTTATGAAATGCAGCTCAGTGGTCCCAATCACATGGCGCTTTTCATTCAGCCCTTGAATGGTGCAAAGGTTACGAATTGGTCCTTCCATCAGGTAATGTTTTGACCCACATTAAAAAAAAGAGTTTCCAGTTAATATTTAAAAACTTATAGGCTCCCTTGCGACTGGAATTTGAACCACCTTACTTTATCTATTTCTCCTGGGGAGTCAATGGAGATCCCCTTAAATTCTGGATAGAGCTGGAGGTATATTATTACAATTTCTTTTTAAATTAATATTTCCTAACATAAAAATTTTATCTACGACAGAAACCCAATGAAAATTGGAACTCCACCACTATGGAACTGGGTCTCGGTGGCCATTGGACCCACCACAAGGACCTGTTGACGCCAGACTTCAAGAAGTTCCTCGACAGCTTCCCCCATTACGTGGATGCCACACCTTGGCCAGCTTCTTTCGAGAGCCGGATCTACTAGGCTAATAACCCTAGATTTTGTATAAATAAGTTAAATAAACGTTTTAATATTGACACACTTTATTTGCGAACTTTGCTCTTGAGATATGAGGAAGTCGATGATTGATTTGCGCCACTCATAAATACTTAGCTTTATTGGGCTGTTAATTTATCAATCATTAATTATAACTAATCCCATAAGCAAGGCGGTCATATCAAAGTGTTGCGATTGTGGAGGGTTAACAAAAACAAAGTTGAGTAAAGCTCACAAGTAGAATATTATTATATACATGATTTGGAAAAGTAAAGTTTATCATTAAACTTCTTAGCTCTGGATTTTCATTCTTTTTACTAAAAAGTGTATAACAACTTTCGGTTTTCCTAAGAGAATTTAAAAATTCTGTTTAGACTGGAACTTTATGGCTGTGTCAGATTAAAATCGGCTGTAGATTTATAATTTATGGCTCTTCGTTGGGAGCTTGTGCCCTAAACAACAAATGGCGAAACAATCCGAAGTTCCCCGGTAGAAAATATTTTGAGTGTACATTCACCGAAAGTGTGATGCAGACTGATTCAACCGGAGATTGCCAGATTAGGTTCTGATAATTTAAAATAGGCGCAAGCTTATCAGCATGAATAGACGAATGTCGATGATAATCTTTGAAGTGGATTTAAATTAAATAAACGTGGGAGCCAAATTTATTTGGCCAATGGTCACAGTGGTTTGTTATACAGCACTTCCTGTTCAGAAATTTTTAAAAGTACATTAAGATTTTGATTAAGCATTAAACAACATGATTAAAGCAGGAACATAGATACGGTTTCAGGCAGAACTAAAAAATTATCTGATCCAATAATCGAAAACACTGTCCGATTATAAGCTTTTATAAATCAATTTAAGGTTTTACCAGGAAACTTTTTGATTCATGAATTTCCAAATGATAATGTCTTGTGGTTTAAGATAATCCATGCACTTTTTGGGGACTCACTTAGTAGCACCTGGCTTTTATAAAACTGTTATCAATTAAGATCTATGACTAAAATTCCAAGTAATTTTTAGGTATATCAATCCTAATCTTGCTTACACGTTTAGGATTTATGTTTGCCGATAAGGTGGTCGTGTTTCCCCAATTACCTTACTTAACTTATCTTAATAAGGCCATATGTATATTTTCTAGATTTTGGACCCCACCGAAAGATCTCTGCCGAAGCCCTAAACTCCTAATCGCCTTAACTACTGGCCTATAAACAGTTATAAAATGAGAAACAGCTTCTGGTATCGCCTATCGCAGGATGTAATCGTTTTATGCGCCAGAATCGGCGATTATGATCATAATATTTAATTATTATCGCCGCCGTGGGGGCGATAAGCTCTACGAGGTGTCGATTTTGGCCCTACTTAATTCCTGGGAACCTGCTCGAGACGTCTTAGTTGCCCAACGGCTGGGCTTTGGTTCGGTTGTATTTTGAAGGTGTTTCATTCAGGTCCGAGTCGCGTGCGATCTGAAGGTTAGTGTTAGTGGCTCACCATAATTCACAGTGGTCAACTGATTAGGATCTCTAAATGTCCTCAGTGTGGTACTATAGTACCTACCTAAAAAATCAAAAAATATAAGGCTTGCTGTCAAAAAAGTGAAAGGCCGTCTGGCGATAAGCTTTCGGCTTAACGGAAGTATTCAAATCTGGGCATCGTTGCAAAGTGAATTAAAGACTTCTTCGAAAACAGACTTGTTTTCGAGTATCCATGTGCGATAAGGAACTTTATATCGGCTGTAAAATGAGAGCTAGCTTTGTTATCGATTGCTGTTTTTAGACCAAGTTTTTACTCCTTTTAAAAATTTGGAGATCATAAAATTAAGTGCTTCATAGGGTGCTAATCAGTTTACGACCTTTCTACGGTCTCCAGCGAAGTTTGAGTGTTCTTTTTTGATAAATAATAAAAATGACTCAATTCCGATCGAAAGACTCTGCAAACACATATCGACGCATTTTCGCGAATGTATCGTATGTTGAAAAATCCAATTTTACAGGTGAAGCTTTTTTTTTGATTTAATCTCTTAGGAGCACTGTAACATACGATAAAATTGAAACTTAATTTTTATCGGAACTATAGGGTTTTCAGTTATAATATTTCACAGGGTAATGAGACATTAGGTGCCTAACAATTTTGTATTAAAATCTCAATTTCGAAAAAAAGCAACATACGATACTTTCGCGGAAATGCGTCGATATTATATGAGCTGTTCATAACAAGCACTAAGGTTTTACCGTAAGTGGGTACAATGTGTGAAGATCGTAAAATACGGTACTCGAAAGTGCCTAAAAGCACACAACGGTTTTTATCATCAAGATTATTTAAAAGCAAGAAAATATGTGACAAAAGTCATTAGCATTTGGTTTTAAATATAAATTTAAATTAACAACTTTCCGGTAAAAGAGCTAGACATCCAACAAAATAAATTAATGTCCTTTGAGTGAAGTAAAAAATTTTAGGAATACATTAAATAAGACCTAATTTATAGAACTCTACCCTTAAGCACAGTGAATCATTCAAGATAAAAAAGGTTTTTTTTCAATCAATGTAAGAAAAGAGGAGTCACCACTTTTCTGTTTCATCTTATCAAACTTTGGTGCAAAGGTTAAGAAAAGAGAAGTTAGTTGAGTTTATCAGTAAGGTATACAACCTATTGCCAACCAATTATTTTAGTGGCTGCTTATTATCTACTCTTGGGTGCGAACTAAAGTTGTTAGGTGGGATTATCAGTAGGGTATACAACCTCCTGCTAACTAAACCACTTTTATTGCAGATGACATTCTCAACCGTTGACATTACAACCGAGAAGGATGGCGGCAAGTCGAGGGATAAAAAGTGGCCCTGGTTTGGAGCACCCATCTATGCCGCCGCAGCCTTTGCCCTATTTTATGCCACCGTGTTGCCCAGTTTCCATAGTTATCCGAAGATGTTGTACCAAAGTGAGGAGTCACTGCATCCGGATGAATTCATTGGAGAGCGGGCAATGAAACAGTTGGCGGAATACTCGTCGATTGGCAACAAAATGAGTGGTTCCATCAACAACGAGGTGCACACTGTGAACTTTCTGCTGAGAGAGATTCAAAAAATCAAGGATGAAGCTCGAACGGATCTCTACGTCATCGAAGTGGACACACAGTACTCCTCGGGAGGTTTCTACCTCTGGGGCATGACGATATCATATCGAAATCTCTCCAATGTTGTGGTGAAAATATCCCAGAAGAGTTCGAGCAATGAGAACTATCTGCTGGTGAACTCCCACTACGATTCGGAGGTCCAAACTCCGGCTGCTGGAGATGATGGCGTCATGGTGGTGGTCATGCTGGAAACCCTTCGAGTGATTTCGTTATCCGAAAAACCCCTATCCCATCCTGTGGTGTTCCTGTTCAATGGTGCCGAAGAGGCCTGCATGCTCGGTTCCCATGGATTCATCACTCAGCACAAATGGGCCAAGAACTGCAAGTAAGTGGAAATTATTACTCCTTAAAACTATCTTTCTGACTAAATCAAAATATTAGAAAAAGATTTGTGATCAAAATTTAAACATAAGTAAAGTTTCGTTGAAAATTCTTCTATTTTATCTATATAATTACATTTTACTTAAAATATGTTGAAAAATACAACGATAATTATTATTCTATTCACTAAAGCCAAAAAAACAAACATTTCTAAAACATTATTTGCCATGGATAAAATTGTTAAAAATTAATTACAAAACTATAAAGTTTTATTACAACAAAACCTTGTTTGATATCTCAAAATAAAGATGAGAAGATTTCTTTCGAATTGACCCAGAATACTCCTGTAATTTATATACAATTAAGTATTAAGTATTCTTACCCATTTCTTATTTATCCATCCCAGAGCCTTGGTGAATCTGGACTCCACTGGCGCCGGTGGACGGGAGGTGCTCTTCCAAACTGGTCCGAATCACCCGTGGCTGGCCAAATACTACCACGCGACTGTTCCGCATCCGTATGCCCAAACTCTGGCCGAGGAGCTGTTCCAGCACAACTTCATACCCTCGGACACTGACTTTCGCATTTTCCGCGATTACGGAGGAGTTCCTGGTCTCGATATGGCCAGTGTGATGAATGGATACGTCTACCACACGGAGTTCGATAACTTCCGGAATGTGGAACATGGCACTTATCAGTCGACGGGAGAGAACGTACTTCCTCTAATTTGGGCATTGGCCAATGCTCCCGAATTGGATGACACCGCTGCTCATGAGAAAGGACACACTGTTTACTACGATTTCCTGGGATGGTTCATGTTGACCTACACCGAAAACGTGAGCCTTGCCATTAACGTGGTGGTTTCCGTGGTGGCTTTTGTTTGCATTGGCACCTCGGTTTACATAATGACTCTGGATAATGGTGCGGATGCCACGAAAGCGGTGATAATGCGATTTGGCGTCATCTTTTTGGTGCAAGCGGGAACTTTCCTTGTGGCCTGTGGTTTGACCCTTCTGGTGGCTCTCTTTATGCAAGGAGTTGGTTTGGCTGAATCCTGGTACCATGGAAAATGGATGGCTTTTGGACTGTATTTCTGCACTCTGTTCTTTGTTTTTGGAATACTGCCTTCCTTGTACATTGGATTCACGAAGAGGAAAACCAACATGAAGTTGGATCAGACAATCGCCTGCTTTATGCACGCCCAGTGCATTTTGTTGGCTTTGCTCTGCATTATAATGACCAGTATGGGAATACGATCCAGCTATTTCCCCATGGTTGGGATCTTTTTTTACGCGATTTCTGTTTTGGTTCAAATTATACTGAAGCTAACTATTAAAAGTAAGTTCCTCAAAAAAATGTAATACATATTTGTGTTCTTACTAACAAATATTTATTTTCCTTAGAGAGTTACTTTGTCACGGTTCATCTTTTGTGCCAAGTGCTGCCCTTCTTCTTCTACACTTATATTTGCTATGCAACCCTGGTGACCTTTGTGCCCATGGAAGGTCGCGATGGTCCCGAAAGCAGTCCCGATATCATGGTAGCAGTTTTTATCATAGCCACCGCTATTAACTATGCTGGTTTTGTGGTAAGTTTTTAAACGAAACAATTATATAGTTGGTATATAATACAAATATATTATATATTCTCCTAGATTCCAATCATGCACAAGTTCCGCAAGCCCAAGACTATTTTCTCCTCTTTTGGTGTGATGACTATCATTTTCATCATCATGGCTTGCACATCCGCTGGTTTTCCATTTGTAAAGGAGGTGGCTCCTCAACGTTATTATGTGCTGGTAGGTTTAAAGCTTTGAAATTAAAAAAGAATTTAGTAATAAATTCCTTCTATTTTTTAGCACACCCAGCGAACCTTCCACAACGTGGATGGCACCACCAAACAGGACTCTGGTTACTATATTCAGCCTGTGGATACGCGTCTCCATGAATTGGATGACACTACTTTCAAAAATGCAGAGCCAGAAAGTTGGACAGCAGCCACTTGTGCCGCTGAGCCTTACTGTGGTTTACCCCTGTACAGTGGACGCTGGATAGATTGGAAGTGAGTTGGTTTTAATAAGAAAACTTTATCAAGTAATTAACCTTATTAATTATTCCCCCATTCTTACAGAAACTCAGCTCGTTGGATCTACAGCACTCCACCCGTCATTCCATTGACCACAAATCTCACCCAGATTTCAAAACAATCCTTGGGTGGCAACAAAGTGCGCTATGAGTACAATCTTATAGCCAGTGATCGCGTGATGATGTACATACATCCTTTGGATCAAGTTAAGGTCACAGATTGGTCCTTCGATCAGACTCCCTTGGAGGAGAACCACACTCCACCGTATCTGATATATTCGATATACTCCCTCACCGAAGAGCCACTCAACTTTTGGGTGGAACTCGAGCACGAGGAGAGCAACACGGATGGACCCCATATGAAGCTGGTGGTTTCGGAGCACTTCCAGTACCATCCGGAACACTACACCGAGGACTTCAAGGAGTTCCTCGCATCCTTTCCCGAGTGGACCTACACCACCGATTGGTTCTCGGCTCTGGAGAGCTGGATCGTTTAGGCAGCGACGAGAATATAGAATCCCAAACTGGCTTATCTTAACAAATAAGTTATAGTATATTTTAATAAAATTACAAAGTAGTAACTACACTGGTCTAATCGTAACTTAGGATGTGCCATTCTGGTTTTGACACTTTGTTCGTTGCATTGGGTTTATTGGTAATACTAGTAGGTAGTACCAAATTTAACAGTGGCTGAGGTGTCATGGCAAAAACGGGGACTGAGTTTGGTTCGCAAAAGGAACTGTTGGGCCCATCATTACAGTTGCCAGCTGTTGTAGGATCCAATCCAGGAGCTGACATGCGCCCAAGATGGAAACGTGGCCAGGAACTCCCGGAAGTCTGAGGTTACGAACATATCATCATGTATTCGGTGGCCCATCAGCGCTATTTTGAAAGTGCCGCCCGACCAATTGGGATCGTCGTGCTGGAAAAGGATATCATTTAATAATTAATTACACACGTGCGAAGAAGTTAATACGACATGAAGATATTTTCGCTATTTTGGTATTATCTTGTACTAGATAAAGATGTATAATCTTAATAAGTAAAACGGTTAAAGTGATAACGTATTTGATAATGATATCAATATACAATTTTATGATACAATGGATTAGATATATGGGGTATTCATTTAATGATTGGAACAAGTAAAAGTGAGATGTTTATCTCGTATATTGAGTAGAGTTATTACCTCGAATTCCAGTGAAAATTGGAGAGGCTTTGGATCCAAAGCATATGACCAGTACACATAGTAAGGAGGCGTTACATTGTTCTCCAATGGTTCCCTGGTAAAGGACCAATCCACCAATTTGGTATCGTTTAAGGGCAGTATGAATATGCTCGTGTGATCAGGGCCAGAAATCTCGAGATCAAAGTTAATGTTTGTTGCGGCACTACTTGATTTACCCAAAATGGTTAGAGTGGGAGTATATGCCTTATTGGGTTCTGGACCAGGTATAAAATAGCTGTTGTCACTGTAGATAAAATAAAGAATATTAATAAATATTAGCAACTATATAAGGTAATTATAAACTCACACTGCATTCAACCATCGCGAACTGTAAATGGGGAAACCACACATAATCTCCGTATCACAGTCCATGGGTTCTGCCTTTGTAAAGTTGGTGTTTTCAAAGAGGATATCATCTACGGTGTGAGGACGACGATCGACTGGAAGCACAAAGTATCCCGAATCGGATTTGGTAACAGTACTTGCTGCATCGCCATCGTGGAAAGTTCGAGCTGTGTGCTGTAAAAGAAAAGATTATCTTTAGGATCTATAAACTAAAACCACAAATAAGTAAACTTACCACTGCAAAGAATCGCTGGGCAGCTGTCTTATCGGCATAAGGAAAGCCAACAGGTGTAGCGGCTAATATAATAAATACTATCGTGCAGATACCAAACATCGAGATAATCGTTTTCGATTTGCGGAAAAGACAGAACAAGGGAACCAAAAAGGGTGCAAATAGTAGAACCATCAGGGCGGTGAAGAAACCCATTAGTATCTCAGGATTGGTATTGCATTCGCGTCCTTGCATGGGTACAAATACCACATAGAAGGCATAGCAGCAGTACGTATAGAACATGAAGGGCATTATCTGGCAAATGCAGTGAGGTATAAGCCAAAGGAAGTCTGCAATAAATAAAATGAATTATACAAATAATAATACAAATTCTACTTTTATTTTACTTACTTGTTTTGTGAGCTTTGGTGACCAAGTTAATCAACACAGAACAAGTGTAGAAACCAATGCAGAGCATTATAACAAACGCCGATCGAATACTATAGCTCACCATTATGGCGGTGATAATGGTCAAAATCAGACAATGCGAATGCATCAAAAGCTGAATGCCATAGCCCAAAGGTAAACCATGCTGAAAACCAAATAAATTTCAATTAATTCGATCAAAAATTATATAGCAGTTACCAGTTGAACTTACCTCCTTGGTGCGACTAAAGTAAATAGCTGGAACAATACCCATTCCGAATATCATAGGACAAAAGTAGAGACCAAAGAGCATCCAGTTTTGGGCAAACCAAGACATTGGAAGATTCACTGCATCAAGGAACAAGGCTATCGAAAGAACCAGGGCAATTCCTAAAGCAACTCCCGTAACCTGGAGAGCAGTTAGAATGCCAAACTTGGCCCAAATCCGTCTGCGGAACATTCCCGTACTACTGGACATGGTCAAAATATATCCCACGATGGTAATGCACACCAAGACACACACGGAAATGTTGATAATGACACCTGTACTCTCCGGATAATAAACAAAGAACCAGCCCATCATGTCGAAGAATATCATGTGACCCTCGGCGTATTTCTAAAAAGAAAAGACATAAATTAATATATATTATTTTTTAAAGTATCCATCCAATAACTCACAGCTGGATTCTCCAGTTCCTCGGCATTCGCCAAAGCCTTGACCAAAGCCAAGATATTTTCGCCAGTTAATTGGTAAGTTCGACGCGGGATGAGATTAAAGCGATCATATTTGGTATGGTACACATAACCATTCAAAGTCTGCGCCATATCGAGACCTAAAAGAACGGAGGTGTTAGAGATTAGGGGTTTTAGTACTTTACTTTATATTATTCCTTTATATTACCGGGTATATTGCCGTAGTCGCGGAACACGCGATAATCGGTCTCTGAGGGAACAAACCCGTTCTGGAACAATTCCTCTCCGATAGTGGAGGCAAACGGATGAACTATGTTTTTGCCATAGTACTGAAAAGTTAAAAGAAGAATTAGTAACAATCCAAAGTCAAACAAATAAATAAATATTTACCTTCATCAGCCAAGGATGATCTGGTCCGGATTGAAAGAGAATTTCTCGTCCTCCGCTGCCAGCGGAATCCAAATTCATAACCGCTCTGTAAAAAGAAATAAATTTGCTATTACTAAAATCTATTTAACTACTTTTAGGCAATTTTTTTTACTAAGGTTGATTTAGATCGCTTGAATTTCAATCTTTATTAAAAATATATTTTACTCTATTATAACAAAATTGGATCACGAATTATTTAAAAGCTAGCATTTTTCACTATCTAGCTACTTCTCTTTGTTTTCAATACTTTTCAAATAAAATCTATCCGAAAATTCCGTTGGAATCTCAAGGTTTTTAGGTCTGTTTTCGCGATTTTAATTGAATTTTTTTATTAATTTTCAATTAGAATAAGATTAAAAGATATTTCCATTTGTAATAGTGATCTACTTACTTGACATTTTGCGCCCAAGGATGTTGGGTGATGAACGCGTGGCTGCCTTGTAGGGGATTTTCCTCCGCTCCATTGAAGAGGAACACCACCGAGTACGTGAGTGGTGTCTCGAACTTGGTGATTACCCTCAACACTTCCAACATGATCACACACATCATGCCAGCATCTCCGGCTCCTGAGCTTCCCGGAACGGAATCAAAATGAGAATTGATGAGAAGAGCAGCTTCACTGGTGGCATTCTTCGGAGAGAGTTTAACCACCACATTCTGGATGCTCTGATAGACGTTGACCATGGACCAGAGTAAATAGTTTCCAGAGGCAACCTGAACATCCTTTTCTATATCATATAGATCCGTTCGCGCTTCGTTTATAATATCTCCAATTTCACTGAGAAGAAATTGAACAGCAACCTGTTCATTGGCCGCACTTCCCACGACTTTTGGTCCGATTTTCGAAAGTCTCAAGAGTGTGTTCTCCGCCCGTTCCCCAATGAATTGACCCGGCTCTTCGCGTTCATCCTCCAGGGTTTTCAGCTTTGGCATCCGATGGAAACTGGGAATCACCACCAGGTAGAAGAGCAGGAACCAGCAGGCAACAAATAGAGGAGCCCAATACCAGCCGATCTTGCTACGATTGTAGATGATCTTCATGTTCTCGTACTTTGATTTCATTGTGGCCTGAAAAGGGGGAATGCACATTAATTTTATTGTTCATATATATCAAAAAGGAGAGAGTGTCAGTGCACTCCACTAATTAATCACAATTGTCGAATTCCGATTGTGACACATTCCCCTGATAAAGATAAAGCTCGGTGGATGATTTGTTAGCCGCGTCATCACAAATAATCTTTTCCCTTTTTTTTATGGAGAAAGGGTTTAGTTAATGAATCGATTAAATAATTAGGAATCACGATTAGCTAGTACTATCAACTTCAGGCTGTCACTTCAAACGAACTCCATCCATTCAATGCTAACCGAAATCAATCAGGAAATATATTTTATTGATAACCAAAACCACAAACTTTAAAACATGAATGAGTGTCTTGCCTGATGAGTACTTTTCGTTATCAAATCCAAGCTGTGATTATTCAAAGCATCTGCCATAGATAATACTTATCGGGCGTGAAAAGTGTCAAGTGGGCAGGAAATGAAGTATGCTACAAAATCTTGAGTACCCCAAAGTTTGTGAACAAATTATTATAGAGAACATCTTGGCAAACGATTGGCTGGGAAAACTTTTCGTTTTTGGAAAAACAGAAAGCGAATTGCAGACCGGAAAACATCTGCTGACCATTTGGTACCAAAACGAAAAGTATCGTCCGACGCAAATTAGCCAACGACATTGAAATAATGCAGCTTTAAAAAATAAACAAAACAAAAAATCTAACAAAATTTGAGAAATATAAAACGTCGGCATTTGGAGCAAATCAGCATTGCAAGAGACACATCTTGTAATTCTGTGAGCGGTATTTCATTCTTATTTATAGCCAACTGGGCTAATACATATTATCGTTTAATGTTCACACATGTGATGCCGCTGAGTTTTCGTGTGGGAAATATTTATTAACAAATTTTGTTTGTTTACTTGTACCGCAGAGAAAATACACTATTGTCAAATAAAATAATGACGAAAACAATAAGTTGTTGGACATATTAAATCACATATTTTAAACAATCGCAATGATCTTAAAGGTACACCTATTGGATAAGAAAATGTTTCCCTATTGGAAAAGCAATAAGAAACCTATTTTTTAGGTTTAATTATTATCACTGATCTCATTGTATAATAGTCCAATAAGGATTTAAAATTATATAATGGGATCTTTGCATTTTTGCCTCCCATAAACTGTTTAAATATTGTGGTTTTTGAGATTAATGACACTCGCATGAAAACTGATGGCAAGTGTGTCCTAAAAACGAATAGTGGCAGCGGTTGGGGGCAGAGCAAAAGTACTGGCTACTGAGGCAATTAAACTTTTTTATTTGTTCTGTTTTCCACGACTGCATGCAAAATACCATTTGGATTACAGGGCCACATCGACCCATTTTCCACTGACTTTTAGGTGACCCGCGTCGAGCTGAAGGCAACTTCTCGGCGATTAAAAGTGAGTCGGGTAAAAGCAAATGGGATGTGCAAAAGTACTCGGTCTCCTCGTTTTTTTCACCCATCTGATGCGCTTATCGATCCCAGCTAATCACTTCCCCACAAAAACAAACAAACTGCGGGAAGCGTTCTGTGCGGGAAACACGCCTACTTAACATCAAAATAAAGGAAAAAGAAAATTTAGGGGGGATCAGAAAACTATTTAAAGACAATTTGAATGAGGGAAACTGGGAGAGTGGGAAATCCAAAACAAAATCGGGTTCGCAGAGGCGTCGGCAATCAACTGTGACAACAACGGGAAAGAAAAGCCGGCAAGAGCAGCAAACAAATGAGAATGCTGTGGGCCTTAAGATACCTGTTGGTAATTTTTATTAAAAGTGAACCAAAATGTAAGCTTAACTCAGCTTAAGCGCTCAAAAAATGCCTTGGATTACTGATTAACAATTGAAAGCTATGCATTTTTAAACTAAGTGGGAGTGAATGTTCGAGTTTTTGATAAATGGTTTCTTTTCACATTTCTAGACTAGAAAAATCAGAGATCAACAAAATGAAGAGTTAAGTCATAAAACAGAATGCAAATTAAAGTTAAAATTTTTCTTACAATTTATTTTAAGTTGAACAACTTAGGAAACCTGGACTTAAATCTCATATTTGATGATTCTCTCTAATTTGAACAATTGTCAATCGATCTTCACATTCACATATAAGGAAGATCTCAATGAATACATTTTTTTATGTAAAAAATGTTATCTTATAAGGTTAGGAATATATACACAGTAATCTCTCTTATTTGAATAATTGCCAAATGATCTTCGACACATTCACAATGTAAAAGAATTAACTCATTAAATAATTTTCCTCTGAAGAAATGTTTTCTTATAAGATTAGAAGCCACTTCTTGGTTCAGTCCTATATACCCCCATCCACACTCCGATCCCGAGGTATAAAAACAACATCAGCTCGCGACAAGAACCGCATTTGTTTGGACTAAACTCAGACGCATCCAAAGAAAAAAAGAAGTTGGGACGAAAACAATCACCAGCACAGATACATTTCCAGATACAAATGCAGATACAGACGGCATTCAAACATAAATACTCGTACACATAAAACGCGACACGCTGCAAGGGCTTGAGTCAATAACCTGCTGAAGAAAGGAAGTTGCGGCTGCACTTGCGGTTGTTTGTTGAAAGAAAGCCCCCGAGGAGTGAGAACAGAGGAGAATCCAAGGAAAGAAGCCTGGCAACTGTTTGGTTACCTTGTTGGCCGGCAGAAAGAATCTTCCGTCTTTTTAGCAGACGATCACTTGCACTTAAGTTGGCACTGGCACTCGGCAATTATTAGCACATATGACCGAAAATAAACTGAAAACTAGTGGGCGATGCGATGCGATCGAGAGTCCAATTGGAAACGCGGACGGAATTTCGGCTGCTCGAGGATCAGCTGATTGGAGGCGGAAAGATCAACTGTCCCCATCGACGGTCGGCGTTCGTCTGCGGCTGCTGCGCTGCTTGCTTGGCGGCAGAACTCTTCCTCTCTTTTGGCGACCCTCTCTCTCTCTCTCTTGCAGGAGATTGGGGTCACCAAAAAGTCAATGAGAGAGAGAGAAAGAGAGCCCAGGGTATTCACTCTCTTTTACCCGCTTCTTCCCCAATCACCTGTTGTTCTCTCTTGCACTCACGTGTTTAAATAGCTGACTGGTTAATAGTTAATCCGAATCTCTTAAATGGGAATCCAATTCAAAGTGGAAATCTCCTGGTATCCGTAACTACCGTAATGTAACCACTTGCCGGACGGAGGCCAACTAAAAGGCTAAAATGTGCCACTGTCGATTTTATACGCGGGGGATTTGTTTCGCGGATTTCGGTGCTCAAAAAGCTCAAGAGCCGTGGGCTTATCACAAGTATCGAGTTATCAGAAGCGAACAGCTAATCACGTAATTTGACAGGTACAACGGAGGGGCGGGGGGTCGAAAGACCATCGCCTGTTTCATCCGTATTGCCACTGCGATTACATACGTAATTGCCCCCAATCGAGATTAAGTGCAGGCGATTAGTGGGTATTAGTAGGAAATCACTGTGATTTCCTTCATTCCTTGAATACAATTCGAGCTGCGAAAAGTGACAGTGAACGTGGAGATAAGGATTGGCCAGACAAACGACACTTGAGACGATTTCCCACTTAGTCAACAAAAAATAGGTAGCTAGGGTTTCCAAATTTGTTTATATTTACCCCATGGATAAGAATCGCGGCAATGCAATCTGAATAGTCGGGAATTACACAGAAGCAATAATTTGGGTTTTACTATTCTTTTACAGATAAGATGACATTGGAACGTGTTACACAAAATAATCTATAATTGCTGAACTATCTTTAAGTTTAATAGTTTATGGTAACCACATTTCAAGAAAAATAATTAAAAATTTTAAATAAGCCAGCAGATAACCCGTTGAAGTTTCGCTTAATATTTCCTTAGGAAAACTTTGTGAATAATTGCTTGTAAATAAGAGTTAGCTATTTTGTTTACTTTTCAATACCCGATTACTGTCGTAAAGTAATCTAAGCGACTTGAAAAAACACGTAAACAAACTATTACTTTCTGATTGATAAGGGGCATAACAACAACTGGAATTTGTATCAGCTTTATTGAACCCTTTTTATACCTTTGTCAAAGACAGCGCTTAATTGGGTATTTACAAGTTGTTAATTGCCTTAGAAAACTACCACGTTACTAAGGGTACTTTTGTAATTTTCTATAAATATATGGAGGAATCTAATGAGTAGTGTTTGGTAATCAAAGAACACAGACTTTCACCCAACAACATTATTTCATTTGGTAACATCTTCTTTAGAAAACAGCGATTATATAGTAATTACACGTTTTAAAACTGACAAAGTTTCTCCGCGGAATTTCTAGGTGCTTGGATATATCTTCCACTGGCAAAAAGGCAGGTCTATGCAGTCGAGCGCGAAAACAGTTGACATAATTTGATAGCCGCCCGCCAGTTTCCCAGCTATCGAATCCACTCGGGCGGAACAGCCTACAGCGACAATTCAATAGACAGGTGAGTCTGTATCTGAAATACATGCGAAAGCAATTCAAAAATACGTAAACAATCTGTTAATCAAGCGAAATCAGCGGAACCCAAAACCCGACGGAGGACCCTCCACTGCAAGAGGAAAAGAGATAGATAGATCGGGCAGACAAAGGTGGAATGACACATATACGAAAATGGAACTGAAATCAGCGACAATCGTACAACAGTTGGGCACAAATTAATTAGTAAACTCTGTACGAAATAGAAAAAAAGGCGAAACAAGTGGGGCTGGAATTCGGATTGGCATGGGTCTCTATTTTCTGGGTGCGCCTGGGAGATGGAAAACCAAAACTAATGCCAGTCAGTCGGAGGAAGCGCTACCCAAAAGTCACGTCTCGGGATTACGGAAAGCACTACGGACCCCCTAACATTCCGCTATCCAGAAGTTTATGATTATTGGACATTTAACTTCTAGTTAGCAAGTGCCGCCGAACTGAGTATCTTAAAAATTACAGTCCATATCGGTGGAAATTGTTTACGATACAAACGGACATTATCCTCGCCATAAAGATAGAACTCGCCGGTTAGCAATTGCCGTGGCCCCCAAGTAGCGCATCGAATGCGAAAACCAGAACCAGAAATCTAATAAAGTCCCCGCCCATTTTAACCCGAAAGTGTCGCAATTCATCGTGTTTATCGTACGGCTGCTCCGATATCAGAGAGTCCCCGGTACTACCGATAATTCCCCCGTCTTTTGGCCAATTCCCAGACCCTCGAATGTCGCTGGGCCTCATATATCTTTAGGGGACCGGAGCGACTTGCAGCTCAATTGGAACTCGAAGGTTGAGGTCCCCGGTTGCGGGCGAAACTAGGGATAAAAACTCTGGATCGATCCAGTAGTGTTCTACAAGGTCCTTAAAGTGAAAATTCTTTTGAAGGATATACAAGGATATACAGTATATCTAGTATAAGGACCAAAAAATCAGGATCAAAAGTTATTGTGATATCCAGTTACCAGTGCAAAAAATCCCTATACAAAATGAGTGTACGTATTTTAAGTGATTTATACAGTAAACTTAAATAAATTAAAATAAAATAACACAACTTAAAATTATTTAAATGCGTGCTAAAATAAACTCTATTAAAAAACCAACTGACACGTGAGAAAAAAAAAAAAAAAAAGAATCTTTATTAATTTCTGGAATGCATGAACTTTAATTTATATTTTTAATAGGAAAATCTGCAGTTTAATAAAAGAAAATTAAAAGGGAAATGAAGGATTCTAAAAGAGTGCAGTTCAACGAACTAATATATTAATTATTTAAAAAAACACGACTTCCAGAATGTGGGCCTAATAAGCTCCAATCAATAAATTAAAATAAAAAAGGATAAAGTCCAGATTAATCAATCAACCAAATTTTGTGTGCTAAAAAAAACCTTGTTTCTAGGATACAAATAAAATCTCTGGTCGATGTCCAATGTGTAGTCATGAGAAGTCAGCAGAAAAATTACATAGTTCGGTATAAAAAGCCATATAGATAGGAAAACGATTAAGAAACCTTCACAGAATTACACACTTCAAAGGCGCCGCAATATAGCGAATATTGCGAATTTCTTAGCCTGTCCGAGCGATAAACCGTGCTGTTACTTATTTACGAAGGCGTTATCGTTTTATGACAGCAACTTCAGCGGCTTTATGGTCCTCGACAATCTTCAGTTGACCACACGCCCGTGAATCATGAAGTGAACACGCGACGAAGCACGATTTCAATGTCGAGCATTGTTTGCTTAGGAAATCAAAAGAAAAATTAAGGAACCAGGCCTCTTATCGATTAAGATGGATTGCAAAGCCATAAAAGTTTATATTCAGGCTAATATTCCTGTGACCGAGGTGTTCCGCGTTCTCCGCCGATGTCGGCAGCTTTAACTCTCAGTCACGATACTCAATTCAGTTTGCATAGACGCTCGCGGAATATTTCAGATCTAAGAAAAAATAACAACAAAAATTGGTAATTTCCTTTTTAGGCAGACTTTTGGCTGCCAGACGAAGATAAGATATTGATTGGCCATAAAGGAGAGCCAAATTAGGTTTTGTGCAATCCAGAGTGTTCTTAAAGCGATTACTTTAAAATTCCTCAGAAATATTAAGTTTCTTTGTTGGTCGTATCTTTTACGTGACCATTGAAATGACAAGCATTAAAATGCGGTAATCATTACTGTTGAGATCTTTATAAATATTATACCAACTAAAAAAATGTCGTATAATATTAGAAGCTTGTAAGTTTTTTGGGTATAAAGTTAGAGAATAACCCTCCTAAATGTTAAACTTTTTAAAAAGCTAAGAAATCAGTTCCTACATATAAAGAAAAGTATTATTATTATTAAAACTTCTAACTTAAAATCATAAAATCATTAAAAAATTTTAAATGGGCTTTACACCAATTAAATAGTCATAAGTTTACTTACCAATTTCTGTTTGACTTCTACTCTAAAATATTTTTGCTATGAACATATGGGAAAATCTTTTAAAAAATGTTTCCAGTGGAATTAAGATTACAAATTCTATTTAATATTTCTTTTTGACATCCAAATCTATTAAAAAACAACTGGTTAGTCAAGTAGTTCACATGAATTTAACAAATTTGTTATTATCCCAACAGTTCAACTCCAAATACCACATCGATGTGGACTTCGAGGTGCCGAAAAAGCTGCAATGGTACTACGCTCCCGCCTTCTTCGGCTTCTGGTTGGTGCTCTACCTCTCGCTGGTCAACACCCAGATGAACCACATGCCCAGACCGCTTACCCGCAGTGATGAGGCCTCACATCCTGGCTCCTTCATTGCCCAGCGTGCGGAGGATACTCTGATTGAGTTGACCCGAATTGGACCTCGAGTGGTGGGCAGCTTGGCGAACGAGGAAACCACCGTGGAGTTCCTCCGCGCCGAGGTGGCCAAAGTGGAGGCGGAGATGAGTGACCATCTGGAGATCGAGGTGGATGTGCAGCAGGCCAGTGGAGCGTACATGCACTGGGAGATGGTCAACATGTACCAGGGCATCCAGAACGTGGTGGTCAAGCTCTCCGAGAAGAACTCCACCAACGAGAACTACCTGCTCATCAACAGCCACTACGATTCGGTGCCAGGAAGTCCGGGAGCAGGAGATGATGGCTCCATGGTCGTCACCATGCTGGAGGTGATGCGTGTGATTGCCAAGTCAGACGGTCCGTTGGCTCATCCCATTGTCTTCCTCTTTAATGGAGCCGAGGAGAATCCTCTGCAGGCATCGCACGCGTTTATTACCCAACACAAGTGGGCCAAGAACTGCAAGTAAGTAGAATACATTTTTTATATTTAAAAAAAATATATTAAATAAGTAAATATTCTATATATCGATTATAAATATTAACAAACGTGTGAACTTTTTAATAAAGTATTACAATACTATGTTATCCAGTTTTATTGATTACGATAGTATTTCAAAAGCAATTTCTTCTGGTAATGGCATATTTTTCGTTAATTAGTTATAATCTTTTAAATTACACTTCATATTAATATAAAATCTTTTTTTTACCCCAGAGCTCTCATCAATCTGGATTCGGCTGGCAGTGGAGGTCGGGAGATCCTGTTCCAGTCGGGACCCAATCATCCTTGGCTGATGAACTACTACCGGAATGTCCCACATCCCTTTGCAAATACACTGGCGGAGGAACTTTTCCAGGCTGGTTACATTCCCTCCGACACAGATTTCCGCATCTTTCGTGATTATGGAGGAGTTCCCGGATTGGATATGGCATACATCTTCAATGGCTACGTTTATCACACGAAATACGACAGGATAAACGCTTTTCCAAGGGCCTCCTTTCAGCACACAGGTGATAATGTTTTATCACTGGCCAAGGCATTGGCAAATGCTCCGGAGGTGGATGATATAGCTGTGAGTTGAATGAATATAGTAAAAATTAGCTAATAAAAATTACTAATTAATTATATTTTCAGGCTCATTCCGAGGGACATAATATCTTCTATGATTTTCTTGGCTGGTTCATGATCTTCTACACGGAAACCACTAGCATTATTGTAAATGTGGTTGTAACTCTCCTTGCTCTTCTGGGAATCGGAATATCCCTGTATTTTATGTCCGTGCGATCGGGTTGCAGTTGGAAGGGAATCCTCCTTAAGTTCTCCATCACCATTGCCATCCAATTTATTTCCTTGGCTTTGGCCGTGTGTCTTGCTCTGCTGGTTTCTCTTTTCATGGACGGTGTGGATCGCTCGATGTCATGGTTCACCTCCTCTTGGACAATATTTGGATTGTATTTGGCTCCCATTATCTTCGGGCTGAGTATCCTGCCAGCTTTGTACTTGGAGAAGACGAAGAGGGATCCCTTGGGTCTGGGTTTCCGAATCCAACTCTTTATGCACTCGCATTGCATTTGTTTGATTGTTATAATGCTCACTTTGACTGGGTTGAGTATTCGATCGGCGTATTTGATAATGCTTTGTGTGCTATTCGACATTGTAGCTTTGATTGTTAATCTCGTAACGAAATGGCATAGAAAGGGTAAGATATTCTTTTGTATTTTTTTATACTTCTTAAAAAGATTTATTTATTTATTATTTTTTCTCAACAGCTTATCTATTTGCCATTGCTGTCACCGTCTGCCAAATTCTGCCCTTCGTCTTCTTCACATATTTGTGCACCGTGGCTTTGGTGACTTTAATGCCGATGCAAGGACGTTCAGGATCCTCGACTAATCCGGATATGGTCATTGCAGCTATCGTCTGGGTATTTTCTCTCCTTTTTGCTGGATTCATAGTAAGTGCTTTATAAACTTTGTATTTGTACGCCTATTTCTATGTTCGCTTTTATTTATTTTAAGTCATTTACTAGAATTCTATCAAATGTAAAGCAATTCAATTTAAATGAATACCAGCAATTCAGATTTTATATATATATATTTTATTTATATATATCACATCAGTTTTTATTACCACAGTTAAATTATTTATTAAAACAATATTTTTGTATAATTAGGCGCCACTTATCATGTTCTTCCGCAAAACGAGAACAATAGTTCTGTGTTTCCTGGGAATCACAATTCTGTTTATCATCATTGCGGTTACAAATGCAGGATTTCCGTACAAGGAGAAGACATCTCCACAGCGTTACTCCTTGATTGTAAGTTTCTTTGCTATTATTTTATATAATTTATTTTAAATATTTTCAATTTTTAATTCATAAAATCTAGCATGCACACCGACGTTTGCATAATGCAGATGGAAGCACTCGAATCGATGAGTCTGGCTTGTATATTTATCCCCAGGATCGACGTTTCGAAATTGCGAGGGGTAGGCATCTGTAATAATCTATAATATTTCAATTTACTTACTAATTAAAAACAACTTACTTTAAAGATGAAATCGATGCCATTGGCGAGGCGCACAAAGTAAGCGACTTTTGCGATGAGGAAATGTTTTGTGGCATGCCACTTTACAATCACCGGTGGAACAAAGCCAGGGAATACAATTTGTGGATCGAAACATCGGAATCTCCAGAGATACCCACCGAATATCCAATATTAGTACTGCAGGATACCATTGAACTGGAGAGTCCTACGCAAAGGCGTTTCAACTTCACTCTGGCAGGACCTTCTCACATGGGTATTTTCATCAATGTGAAAAACGATGCCAAGATTCTGAATTGGTCCTTCAATGATACTCTCATAAGAGAGCAGTCGGAACCACCTTTTATGGTGTACTTCTCCTACGGACTGGACGACAGTCCTCTTGAATTCACCATCGACGTTGAGGTTAGTAAATACTTACTAATTACAAGTAATTAAATGGTTAACATGAATATAATTTATTATTTACAGAAGACGACCTCAACCTTTGACACGTCCACCCTAGAGATTGGAATCGGGGGTCACTGGGTGACCCAGGATATAACTGCCATAGAGAAGCTCAGCAATTATATAAACCGATTTCCATCGTATGCCTATATTCAGGGTTGGGTGGGCACTTACGAGACCTGGTACTTCTAACAGCCGCAAATGATATTGCTTCCGATTTACTAATCGTAGTCATTAAGCGTTAACGATTAACTGTATAGAATCTGATAAAAAATTACATATTTAATAAACTACATTACGAATACTATAATTACAAACGAATGCCTTTCTGCTTTTTATTGTTACCGAATAAATGAACACATGAGTTTATCTTTTGTAAACAAAACATTCTTTTTTAACCATATTCCTAGGAGATTATCAATGGATAATTGTATTCAATCACAAGGAAAAACGCAAACCAATATTCATTGCTAGTTTAGAAAGTGATAAGCATAAGAAGCTCTCTGCTTTTTGTTGAGGTTTATAATATTCGGTCATGGAATCAAAATAAGAGAACGCCAAATTAAACAAATATATATAGCATATAGCCCTTAAGTGTGAACACTTAACCGTGAGAATACCCATTTATAAACAAAATAATCTGATTAAGATGAAGCGGCTGAGAGAATTCGCATCTCAGTTTAATTGTTTACCTCCAGGGGAAATGTGGCAGGCCTTTCGATCCCGCTTCGATTCTTGCCAAAACAAGGTGAGAAAAATTGATGACGTTGCTAAGGGATAATTTTTACACTATCTGTTTATACGGGAAAATTAAATTGTATTCATGTATTGTTTATATACTACAAACTTTGCCCAGTTAAAAATAGTAACCGATGGGCGTGGAACTGAGTTTATTTTATTGTGTAGGCGTAGGAAAATTATAATTTAAATTAATTTATTTATTCGCTCAATCAGACAAGCTAATTTAAATCGTTATCAAAGTTAATAACTTTGTCACTTGGAAACAACTGAGTACAAGTATACCCAAAAGCAACACTAATTGAGTTGCGGTGGGTCTAGTTTATCATGGCGCATGAAGTCAATATTTTTTATAATCGTGATAAGTGTTCTCGAACTTTTGCAATAATAATACAGATATCCAGTTCTTCCCAGTGCAGTTCATAAAGATTATAGATTTGTAAAAAAAAAAAAGTGCTGATATGAGCTCAATTATTCAAGTAGATGAATACACCTAGTTGAGATAAAGTTAAGAAATCGTTATCACTAGGAAATAAAAGCATAACTCTATTGCTAATAATCGAGGGTGGTTTAAAAAGTTTGTTAGGAAATAAAAAAATTCTAATTTATATGTACCTATTTTTGGAATCAATAATGTTTTTGTTCACTTGTTTTACGTTCCTCACACATGGTTTTTTGTAACTTGATAGATACAAATGTTTAATTCGACAACTTGAATTTTTTTGCTATTTAACAATAATTTCGCCAATTTCCATTATCTACCCTCGTTTTGACAATTCTTTATCGATCTTAACAGCCCATCATAAATAATCATTTGCTTAAGCATAAAAGTTTCTCTATTAATGAAAGCATTATACTTTTTATGATCTTAATTGATACTTAAACGATTTTTGGGGTATAAAAGAACTTGCCTCTTGAGAAAGCAAATCAGTCTGATTTCTAAGAGAGCAGTACGCTGAACTGCCTGAAGAAAAGTGTATAGAAATGGGTGACAAGGAAAAATTGGTAATATTTTTCGGAAATATTCCATGTTGCATTTCAATACAATATATTTTACATATCCTTCAGATCTCTGATGAGCAAATCGAGGGTGGAGTTGGATCCGCTTCTTCAAAAAATGTGCGAAAGGAGGAGGATAACTTGCGAGGACCTTGGTACTTGGAAGGCGGATTTCTTCTGTTCTGGGGACTCCTGTTCTTTGCCGTAGTCATTCCACTTTTCTATCATCTTCCCAAAGGACTAACCATCGAGGATGCGTCCAAGGGAGTCTTCATTGCCGAACGGGCTCACAACAATCTATACGAATTCGATCAGATCGGAACCAAAGTTGTTGGCAGCGATGGAAATGAGAACAAAACGGTTGATTTCTTGCTAGGATTGGTTGCTGAAATCCAGAAGAATGTCCTCGACGAGTACTTCGATATTGAAGTCGATCTGCAGGAGGTCTCGGGACAGTACATCCATTGGACCATGGTGAACAGGTATCAGGGAGTTCAGAACATTGTGGTCAAGCTGAGTCCCAAGAACACCACAAGTGAAACTTACTTGCTGGTCAACAGTCACTTCGATTCGAAGCCAACGAGTTACTCGGCCGGGGATGCTGGTCAAATGATTGTCGCCATGATGGAGGTCCTGCGAGTTATGTCTACAACAAAACAACCTTTCCGTCATCCCATTGTTTTTCTGTTCAATGGAGCTGAGGAGAATCCCCTGCAGGCTTCACATGGCTTCATCACGCAGCACAAGTGGGCCAAAAACTGCAAGTAAGTTTTGGAAAAGTTATGAACTATATTATAATCCAATTATTTAATTACAAAATTTATTTACAGAGTGGTAATCAACTTGGATTGTGCTGGCGCTGGAGGTAAGGAAATTGTGTTCCAGAGTGGACCCAAAAATCCCTGGATTATTAAGGTTAGTAGCCTTCTCAATAAGTTCCTAATTCAGAAACTTAAATTAAAACTTCTCTACAGTACTACAAGAAGAATGTTAAACATCCTTTGGCCACCACCATGGCTGAGGAAGTCTTTCAAACTGGCATCCTGCCCTCCGATACAGACTTTGGTGTCTTTGTAACTTACGGCAATCTTATTGGTAAGAAGGACATTTCAAGAAATCATTTTTTATTAAGTTAAATTTATTTGACAACCTTTTATTTAATAGGTTTGGATATGGCTCAGTTTATTAATGGTTACGACTATCACACCAAGTACGATCGATTCACCAATGTTCCTCGTGGTTCCATTCAAAATACGGGAGACAATTTGCTTGGTCTTGTGCGAGCACTTTCCAATGCCACTGAACTGGATGATACCGCAGTAAGATACAGTACTTTTAAGGATTGCAAAAAATACTTAACACATATAAATTTCACAGGAATACGCAGCAGGACACGCTATATTCTTCGATGTTTTGGGACTTTACTTCATCAGCTATACAGAAAGTACTGGAGTAATTCTGAATTATTCAGTTTCCGGAGTAGCAATTGTTTTGGTTTTCATATCCATTTGGCGAACTTCGAGCATTTCCCATGTATCCCTGGGTCATGTCCTTAGCTGGTTTATTCTGATCCTTGTGCTCCAGATCATAGCCTTTGTCCTCGGACTGGGTTTGCCAGTGGCCATTGCCTATGTTTTTGACAAATATGGACTTTCGCTCACCTACTTTAGCACTCCTGCCCTGATGATCGGTCTCTACATTTGCCCAAGCTTACTTGGACTGAGCTTGCCTTCCTATATTTTCCTAAAGTTCCATAAGAGTGTAAGTACAGCACCTCAAATAAAAAACTGTTGGATTAATTTATTTTGTTTTATCCAGGATAAGGTTCCATTTGCCCAAAGATTGCAGCTGGTTCTCAATGGAAGCGCTGTGGTTCTGGCTATTATTGGCATTGGAATGAATGTTTATGGCCTGCGAAGCACTTATGTGGTCACTTGGACACTCATCTTCTACGTGGTTCCCTTGGCTTTTAATTTGCTGTCCACCCTTCACGATCGCGGATTTTCATGGACTGGCGTTCTCAAGGTCTTCCAAGTGGTTCCCTTCCTTTACAATAGCTATTTGATTTACTGCTTCGTGGTGACCCTGATTCCCATGATGGGACGTTTTGGCAGGTGAGTAATGTTTATATAACCCTGATATAAGAGTTTATTAGAGTATATTAACTTTTAGGGCAACCAATCCCGATTTGATTATCTCAGCTTTGAATGGTTTGGGAACCATTTTGGCTTTGGGTTTCTTGGTAAGAACAATATTATTATTTGGTTTTTTTTTTCTTCTCTAATAAAGCGTTTGTTGTTAGATTCCCCTGGCCAATATGTTCCGTCGGCCCAGCCTGATATTGCTTAGTCTTTTGGCCATTAGTGGTGTAAGCATTTATACGGCCACCTCCACCCAAATTGGCTTTCCCTATCGACCAAAAACCAATGTAGAGCGTGTGCCTTACCTGGTAAGTTTTAAAAAATTATCTAAGAGATAAGTATTCGCATGGTATAATTATATTTCAGCACGTGCGAAGAACCTTCTACGAGTACGATGGCACCGTGGCCAAGGATGATTCCGGCTACGTGTTCAATTTCCAGGATCGTCGAGGACCTGCTCCTTTGGAGGCCTACAAAGTTAACCTGACTGGATTGGTTAGCTTGACTGATGATTGTGCCAAGATCATGATGTGTGGCGTTCCCCTGTATGATCAACGTTGGGTTAAGGCCAAGTTGTATACCATGTGGCTGCCTCGAGCGGAGGAAATCAATCCCCCATATGTTCCACAACTGGAACTCTTGAACAAAACCGAATTGGGTAACAACACAGTGCGCTTGGAGTTCAGGACAAACACCTCGGATCACAGCAGTGTTTTCATTCAACCTTATGAGGATGTGAGCATTGTAAACTGGTCCTTGCCCTTGGATTACATTGGAACAGAGACGACATATCACTTGTACTTCTCGTATGGAAAGGATAACTCTCCGTTGACCTTCTTCATTGACTTTTGGGTGAGTAATTTGGGAAACTAAAGAGGATTCAAAGCTAATACATTTCTTTTATTCCAGAAATCCGATGGTGATTTCAAGGTACCCCTTTCCCAGATTGGGTTAAGTGCCCATTTTATTGGCAACAAGGGTGATGCGATCAGTCAGAAGTTTGCCAGTTCGCTCCCAGCGTTTGCTGCCCCAGTTGACTGGCCAGCATCGTATCAGCGGTTCATTTATTAGACCACCAGTCCTGGTTGCCTCAATATCTCGTCAATCAAATGTTATCTGGAAACAGAAAAAATACCAAAGATTTTGCTAATAAAGTAAAAAACAGTTGAAATTTAAATCTGTCATTACAGTTTCATTTTGTTTGAAACGTCATAACGTTATAACGAACTTGACTAAACTATTTACCTTCTGGTTTATAGTAAGTAATTTAAAATTATATCCCATTTTAAATATTTAAATTTATTTAATGGTATTTCCACTCTTAATTCATATTTGTTTTATAATTTGAGTTTATTTATAGTTTATTTTTAAATTGGAAAGGTTAACATCGCTTTTCGTTTTGGTGCACCAAGCACCCTGTTGTTCTGTTAAAGCAATCACGCATGATTTAAATCGTATTATCGACAAGGCGCCAAATTTTAAATGTTCATATTACAAAATCATTTGATTCTCTATAAATAAAACAAAACTGAGTTATGACTTTAGGGAGGTGATAAGAAGGCATGGGAAATTTTAAACAAATCCATTCACTGCCAATTAGTTATAAGAATCCAGGTCATTAAACAAAAATTACGTGCTATAAAAACTGTTGGTGCCACAGAATGGAATAAAAAAACTTTTAAGAACTTTGGAACAAAAAACCGATATATTTTAGGTGGGTTTCATAATAAATAGATTTAAATAATTATTTATAGATTTAAATAATTATGGGACTCCCCGTAAATTTTTCAAAGTTTCTAGTCTGATTTAGTGGCTAAGTAAAAAAGCAACAAAAAGATGTGTAGATAAGAGATTAACTTTTAGTTGAATTACAACAGCAATCAATCGCCGTCTAATGGGCTTCCTAATCTCAAAAGAACGAGTGGCCAAAGCTAATCAAGATTTCATTGATTGTTTGATAACAGCAATTATACGGTTATTATTTCATAAATCAGTTGGCGGGACACTTTTCACAATTTTTTTAACCTTTTAAAAGTTCTGTTTAAGCTTTCCTACGTTTTAGTGGGTACGGTAAATATTATTGCTGTCATAAATTTAATTTCAAACATTCTTCTGAGATTTTTAAGTTAATAAATTCGGGTAACATTTGCTATCTAAGCAAAGGATTTCGAAAAAATTGTTGGTTAGTTGCTTTTGGTTTTTTTAGCTCGACATTTTTTAGCTGCACTTCCGAGTTCAGTAAAAATGCTTTAAGAAACGATTTTATTGCCCAAAGGCCAATTCTTTAAACTGGTCAAAATCAAATCAAGTACCAATTTTACCGAAAGTTTTACGAGTGATATTAACTACAAAGCATCCAGTTATACCTTTTAATAAAAAATGTATTAATATAAAAATGAATAAATATTAAAATTTGGATTTCAAAAATGTCGACTCATGCCAGACATTCTATTCATACAATAAAAAACAAGTTAACAACACGATTTCTTACTATTCCTTTTTCTTGGGTTGAAGTACTGGTGACTTTTTGTATTGGAATCATTGCTTTTGCATATTTTTGCAAATTTTTTATACAGGTGTGTTATCATCAAGGAACATGAATTTTATTACGACTCGTGTGTTCCGAATTAAAGAACCTATTTTATGAACCCATAAATAATGTCTCGATTGTTAACGTACTTTTAAGTACTTCGTTGCCACGGGCTGGTTAAACAAACGATAGGTAAATGTTTCTCTATGGTAAGTACATGGTGACAATATTAGAAGGGTTGCGGTGGGCTTGAGAAAAAAAAATCATTTCTTATCTTCAAAGATTGTACAAAAGAAATTGAAATCGTTTAAGTTGCCATAAAACATATCAGCTAGTATTATGGTTATTGAACACTATAAAATATGGCGCTCCCAAGAGCAGTTTTTAAAATAATGAAGGTAGGTCGGTTAAAAAAGTCAAGTTAAAATAGAAGTAACAATAAATGATAGTTTTAAATTGAAGCAAGTGCTTTACAATAAAACTATTTACAAAGCAAACAAGATAATCAAATCTTAAGGGGTTATATACCTTTTTCAGAATCAAAAAATCGAAAAAAATTTTATGATTTTTTTTTGATGTACATACTTTCAACAATTTGTCTGCAAAATTTTTTAGAGATCGGGGCACTAGAACCTAAGATACAGCCGTTCATAGCGCACGGTGTGCATGACTACCTAATGTCCACCTAAAACTTTAACCGCGATTATCTCGGAATCGCATTTTTGAGAAAAGGTCGTTGCGGTGAGCACGATATCTCGGTAACCACTACATCGATCGATTTGAAATTTTGGGGGATTGTTTGTAGATACAATAGCTAGTTCGTGAACGAAGGAATTTTATTTTCGATAAATTTTTCTATTTTTTTGGGGCGAAAAACTAAATTATTAGACCTCGAAAAATCGGTTTTTTTGAAAAAATAATCACTGTAACTGTAAAAAATTTTTTTCGTAAAATCCTTCGTTCACGAACTAGGTAACACTATATACTAACGTAGTTTTTTTGTTTTTTTTTTTTCGTTGAGCCGTTTTCTTGTTTTCATGCTCACCGTTAGCCACTACTTAAAAAAGGACTTCTGCGGCAAGGACTATAACTTCCACAATTCTCAAAATTTTCACTCAAAATTTTACACGAATTAAGTTAAGGACACGTACTTTGATAAAATTTTTATTGAATTTAAATAAAACAATGGTAACATGCTAAAAAAAATAAATAAAAACCCTGTATTTCTCTGGTCAAAAAGGTATATAACCCCTTAACTAAAAAAAAAACACTATTAGGGTTGGTTATATATCAACTATCCCAAAGTTTAATCTGTAAAATTTGTGTAATAAAAAATTTATGATATGATTGATTACGAATTTAAGATTATTTTTAGGAATATAAAGACGTTTGATATGTGATCCCAGTCAGTCGAGCTTTGCAACTTGGAAAGCTAACTCGCCTGTGTTTTAAAAATAATAATAATATGGGCGACAAGGAAAAACTTGTAAGGATCAAGGATAAATATTTAATCTAGTTTTCTCTGCAATCATAAATCGTTTTCTGCTACTCACGTTTAGATTTTGGACGAACCTATTGAAGACGGAGTGAAATCCTATTCAAGGAAAAATGCGAAAAAACAGAAGAAATACTTTCAACTTCCGTGGTATTTTGCCGGTGGAATTGTTCTATTCTGGGGAATGCTCTTCATTGCGGTAGTGAAGCCACTTTTCTACCGACTCCCAGAACCCCTGACTGTTGAAGATGCCTCAAAAGGTGTATTTATCGCCGAGCGTGCCCAAGCCAATCTGTATGACTTCGAGGCAATTGGCACCAAAGTGGTTGGAAGCGATGGAAATGAGCACAAAACAGTTCAGTTTCTTTTAAAGGAATTGAATCTGATACAGCAAAATGTCAATACCGACTTGTTTGATATGGAAATCGATGTGCAACGTGCTTATGGTGCTTATGTGAAATGGAACCTGGTGAATATGTATCAGGGAATTCAGAACATCGTGATCAAGCTGACTCCCAAGGGAAGCACCAGCGAAAATTACATCCTGGTGAACAGCCACTTTGACTCACAGCCTACAAGTCCCTCAACTGGTGATGATGGTCATATGGTGGTCTCCATCCTGGAGGTCCTACGAGTGATCTCCTCCTCCAAGCAAACCTTCCAGCATCCAATTATCTTTTTGATCAATGGATCCGAGGAGAATTCCTTGCAGGCCTCCCATGGATTTATTGCCTATCACAAGTGGGCTAAGAACTGCAAGTAAGTTGTGGTTTGCAAGGTAATTATAGTTTCAGAAACTAATAGAAATTATTTTCTTAAAGGGTTGTTATCAATCTGGATGCAGCTGGCAGCGGAGGTCGCGAAATTATGTTTCAAACAGGACCAAAAAATCCTTGGCTGGTTAATGTAAGATTTTATAGTTTTACCTGTTTATATATTTATCTAATTAATTGATTTATTATCTAACAGATATACAAAAAGGGCGCCAAGCATTACTTTTCTACCACAATGGCTGAGGAAATTTTCCAAACTGGTCTTGTGCCCTCCTACACAGATTTTGATATTTTTGTGGAATACGGAGACCTTGTTGGTAAGCTAAAACAACTATTAAATATATTTTTTCAGTTAGATTAACCTTTTTAATCTCAGGTCTGGATATTGGTCAGTGCATCAATGGTTTTGTTTATCATACAAAATGGGATCGCATTGATGTGATTCCACGGGCTGCTCTGCAAAACACAGGAGACAATCTTCTTGGTTTGGTTCAAACTCTTTCCAATGCCGCCGAGTTAAATGATCCCAGTGTAAGTTATTCTATATGAATTATAGGGATTCAAACTAAGAATTTCATTTTAAAAAAATCAGGCGTATACTGGAGGAAACACCATCTTTTTCGATGTCCTGGGATTGTATCTCATAAGCTATTCCGCGGAAACCGGAACTAAATTTAATTATGCCGTCGCTGCTGCAGCCATTGTCCTGGTTTATTTATCCCTTCTGCGAATTGCTGAAAAATCGGATGTGAACTCCGGACACGTTTTGAGCTCCTTCATATTGGTTTTAGTGGTCCAGGTTATAGCCTTTGTTTTGGCACTGGCGCTGCCGCTTTTGGTGGCTTATGGATTGGACAAATATGGATTTTCGCTTAGTTATTTTGCCACTCCATCGCTCTTATATGGACTTTTTGTTTGCCCAAGTCTTATTGGACTTGCCCTGCCCAGCTTTGTCTATTTGCAGCTAAAGAGCGATGTAAGTTTATTTCTTTGTTGAAATTTCGAAATACTAACCATTCATTTTTAAACAGGATAAAGTTGCCTATCCCCAACAAGTTCAACTGATTCTTCATGGACACGCTGCTGTGCTCTCTATTCTTTGCATTGGAATCAATTACTATGGATTGCGTACCACCTACGTTATTACATGGACCCTAGTGTTCTACGTCGTTCCTTTGGCCTTTAATCTCATTACCACTTTGCATGATCGTGGATTTTCGTGGACGGGCATCTTGAAAATTGTACAGGTTGCTCCCTTCTTGTACAACAGCTATCTCTTCTACTGCTTTATTGTGATTCTCACTCCAATGATGGGAAGGTTTGGGCAGTAAGTATCTTGATTTATCTACCACTCTTAAAAGTTTACTTATTTTCTTTTCTATTTAAAGGGATACCAATCCGGATTTGATTATTGGTGGCTTGACTGCCTTGGGTACCATTTTATCTATGGGATTTTTGGTAAGTTTCAGTGCTGTTTGGTACCTTTAATTTTGATAATTTTTTAATGATTACTCCTCTCTATCTGCTTTAGATTTTACTTGTTAATATGTCTCGCCGATCTGGTGTAATTCTGCTGGGCTTATTGGCTTCGGTCTCTGTTGCTGTATCTATTGCTACTTCCACCGATATTGGATTCCCCTATCGCGCCAAGACCAATGTTCAACGAGTTCCTTATTTGGTTAGTTCAAAATCACTATATTTAAAAAGTATATATCTAATATTTCAATGAACCTACAGCAAGTGCGAAGGGTTTTCTACGAGTACGATGGCACCGTGAGCAAGGATGAGTCCGGATATCTGTTCAACTTCCAAGATCGTCGAGGAGTTACTCCTTTGCTGGAATCCAGTGTGGATCTGACTGGCCTGGTCAACATGACGTCCGATTGTGCCAAGTACATGATGTGTGGAGTGCCACTGTACGATCACCGTTGGGTGGAAGCCATGGATTATCTCACGTGGCTGCCGCGAAAGAATCCAGTTTGGACTCCAGCGGAACCCACTCTTGAGTTGTTAAACAAAACCATTCTATCCGATGGCCAAACCATTCGATTCGAGTTCAATCTGAACTGCACGGATCACACCAGCCTTTTCATCCAGCCCAACGAGGATGTGACCGTCAGCAATTGGTCGTTCCTGGATGAGTACTTAACCACCAATGAGCCACCGTATCACATTTACTACTCTTATGGAATCGATGATACGCCACTAAACTTCTACATCGATCTTAAGGTAAGAAAATCATTAATGATGGTTTTATATGTGATTTTAATTTTTATTTATTTCTTTAGAAATCCGATGCCGACTTCGATGTCCCACTTTTCCAGCTGGGAGTTTCGGCACAGTACATGCACGTTGCTGGCGATGATGAAGCCGTGCAGTTCGACAAAACATTCCCCGAATACGCCGTGACCATTCAGTGGCCAGCTTTCTATAAGAAATTCCAATTTTAAATTGTTATTATATAACATAAACCCAAAAAAATAAAAAAGAAAATACTGAAAATAATTCACTTGTATACCCATTACTTGTGGAGGAAAGGGTACATAATATTTTTTAAACAACAAATTAATGGGTCATGTTTTAAAAACCTTCTTTACAGTGATCATATTTTATGATAATATTTAACACAAATAGAAGTTGAAATTTTAGGTAGTCAGAAAAAGAAAATAAGTAAGTTAACCAATAAGCCAATAAAAATTGATAGGTAGAACAAGAGTTATCTGGCTATCAAATTCAAATTGTGCGTGTTCATGTAAGATTATAAAATCGGGAACAATCATTAGGTTGTGGTGGGTCCAAAACAATAAAGATCACTTATCAAAAGAAAGAAAGAAACCAAATTCTTGAGACATTATTATGATCAAGTTTAACAACAGTTTGAATACCTCGTGAGTAGTTTTAAAAGGACCTTTTAAAAGGTTCATAATATTTTTTTAGTATATAATTTTTAAGCTCCTGTATGTAAAAGTTCCGAAACAACAAGATTAGAGTATTAAGTTAAAACATAAAATAGTAAATATTCTATAATCCTTTACACCCTTTGTATAAATCCCTGATAAATATCGACTGGCACGAGGCTTTATCTTAACGGCTCTTTAATCGGAAGCAATCATATTGTTTCGAAGGTACTGGAATCATAAAAATCACCTATCGCTAATCAAATCAAGTGTAATTAATTTGAAGTGTTATAATCTTTCGTATACATGAGTGGTTAGATTAGTTTCAAAATTTTCCAGTCATTAAAAAATTATTATTGTTTTAATAGTTTCTTTTTGTAGTTATCAGTCGGATTTAGCGCAAAGATCCATTAAATTATCAGACTTTCAAAGCTTTCTGGATGTTTGCATAAGGAGTTTGATTAGCCATTTTTTATTATTTTCTACTTTTAAATTTAAAATAAAAAGACTTTCGTATATGTTGTTATTTTTTGTAAATGTTTATTTCGCATTTAAATTGTTTTAATTTAATAGAATTACAAAAAACGTGTTTTAATGCATTTCTTTCGTTTCGTACAACAAAATAATTTAGTATTAGTATTTTACAATATTTATATAAACGGGTTCCTTTTCATTCGCCCTTCTGCATCGTAATTCATTCGCTGATATTGCATATAAAAAACAAAATAATTATGCAATACAAAATCTGTGTGTGTGTGTGGTTTTTGTCGCTTAACAGTTAAATATTAATTAAACTTATAGTAATGACTTTTAGTATATAATTAAATATTTTCTTTACGCGGCTTACAATTTTCACTTTCCTATTAGTTTAATAACAGAACAAAATCAAATTTTATCTCTTTAACGGGTTTAGTTATTTTTTTGGCCGTTCCGCCTCTGCCACACCCCCTTCTTGGTCAAAAGATCCATTGGACTGGCGATTCCAATGGAGCCCGTAGACTCAAGTTGGATTGCAGCAAAGGCGACGACATTTCATTCGAATGTTTTATTTTTTCTATACGTTTTTTTCGATATTTTTTTCTTCTTAGTTTTTGTTTTTTTTTTTTGTTTGTTTGTTTAATTGCCTTAGAGCACTTGGAGTGTATTTTTCATTAATTTACGCTTTATAAGTATATACAAATCATAATTTTGGAAACGTGTATAACTAGTGAATAGGGGTAGTGGGCATTACAAATTAGTAGTAGCAAAAGGTAGTATTAGTTTTAGTAGTACTCGTAAGTAGGTTGCTTGTCTGATCAACTTTGTGTGCTAGCTATATGTCTGCATTCCTGCTCAACTTAACTGCGTGTGTGTGTGTCTTTTACAAAATATATATATAGTATAAACATCTATAAATTGTTTCGCTCATCCTTCAACTTCTTTAGGGCACTTTAAAGTTAGTCTCTTTCGAACTGTGTGCTGTTCCTGCTACATTCATTACTAATGTAGTCTCGATTAATTTCGGGGGAGGTTGGTTTGGGTTTTAGTTTAGAACTTCAGTGCGTAGTTAGTACGTAAAGTTGTGTGTATGTAGTTTTGATATTGGCATTCTTTTGCTTCTCTATTGTCATCCTCATCTCATCTAGAAGTGGGCGTTTCTATAGCCGGAACGGTTCGCGCTTCTCCGTGGGCGTGGTTCCTCGGGAAGTGCGTCGCATTGTGGAGCTGAAAGTTGGCTCCGCTGAACTCTTGCGCGGCGTCTGCATTCCGGATGGCGTGGAGCTACCGCTGATGTTCCGCCTGATATCGAAATAAAATTCATTAGTTTCTAGTCTTTACATGATTCAAAAAACACTTTAACACATAAAAATAACATAAAAATGTATTATAATTTAGTTATCGAACTTAAGCATTAGTCGAAGCAGTTTTTTTCGCTTTTTGTTCTCTAATTTTTAATGGCATGGACATGCACATCAACAATTCACATGCTCGGAAAAAAGGTTGAACATAACAGGGTAACTTAACAAATAACTTTAGACGAGTATAAATCATAATTACTTGCTATAAACTGAGTTGGATATTGACTAGTTAATGTCTTTGTTGTATGCTTATCAACTTTACCCCAAGCTGGTTGGATTCGTAGTCGAGCTGGGCGATGTTGACTTGGAATCGAATGAGGGTATCTTAATCGGTATCCGTGATGGCCGGCTTTAGATGTTTGTTTTTTTTTTTATTTGGGGAGGTAGTAAGTACAACAATTAAGTTAGCAAAGGTAAACCATAACCGCTGCCTACAGTACATGATCACGATCTTACATCTAGCCTAAACTTATGAGTATGTAATTATGTTAAGTGGTGTTCGCCAATCGAGGCTGCTTTATTACCTAATTGGTTTGAAGCCGAAGCCTGTTAGTGCTGGTATGCTGGATGATCTACTCATGCCTCCGTTGCTGTTTCAGTTTTTAATTTTGTATATATTTTTTGGTTTTTTTTTATCGTTTTTGAGAGGGATTTCAGGCACGAGTTTTAGTTGCATTTTTTAGTTGCGTTCAAGCAAATTTCAAATGGTTCAAATGCCAATTGGAGTTGTAAGTTAGCGTTTCATGATGTTGATTGTTTGTGTGAGTGGTGGTGTTGGTCAATAGTTAATGCGGTAAACCGAAAACAGTGTGAAAATAAAAAATAATAAATTAATAAGAGTTTTTGGTAAATTAGTGTATCATTTCCCGCCCAATGTCCCCGTTTTTCTCGCATCGATGGATTGTTTTACGACTAGAATCCTACCTTGTGGGAGCCGGACTGGCTGATCCGGAGGCGGTCTTGCGGGTGATGGTGCTGGTGCCGTTGAGACGGCTTCCCGGTGTCGTGGTGCTGGTCACCGAAAGTCGCGCCGGACGCGGCGTGGTGCCGCTGGCGGTGCTCGCCGTCGAGGGTTTGCGTTGCGGAATGCGAGAGGGCGTGTGATCGTCTGAAAGGTAAACAAAAATTGTTAACTTACTTGTTCTAGAGAATAATTCTTAAAAGTTTTCTGATTTAAACGATTTGTAGATTTATAACCTGGTTTTCTATGAAACTTAGAACACATTTTTAATACGTTTGCAAACTATAAAAAATGTTGGGATAAACCAGACGTTATTTGGAGCAACTTTAATTTGAAACGAACTAGTAAATATTTTGAAAATGTATTGACTTTATTTTATAACAATATATCTGGGAGCTCCTGTTTTAAGATCATATAGTAAATGAGAATGGAGTGTCTTTAAAAATATACAAAATAAATGACCGAAATGTTGTAAACCTTTTTTAAAATAAGGAAAGAAAAATGTAACACTGCATAGGAAATATTTTTCTATGTAATATTTTACCCCAACCCCAATAACTCAATTTACCCAGTTTATTTCAAACTAAATTCTTTAAAGACCCATTTTAAGTAATCTTTTAGCTATCCATCTACACTTTTCCTAATCCTGTGACTTCCTTTAAACTTACCCGTGCTATCCAGCGACAGGGTGGAGCCATGTCGCGACGGGGGCTTCGATCCCTGTCTGCTGAGCGGGCGCGAGTTGGGCTTGGAGCCGGCGCGGGAGCCTCCTGGCGTGAGACCCGTGCGCGTGCTCGTGTAGGTGACCTTGCGGGGCGTGTACCGGCCCGAAGGACCACCGTGGCTGCCCTCGTTGTCGCTCAGGGAGTCGGGAGTGCTGGCCGAGAGTGAGGAGCGCGATGGTCGCGACATGGGAATGGAGCGAACCGAACGCTCTCGAACCTGTACACAAAAAAAAACAAATAAAGTATTATATTTCAGATCTGTAGTAAACCCAGTAACCCCGTGAAAATGAAACCGTTTATGGACACTCCTCCTGGAGCAGCTTCTCCTTCTTCTTCTTCTCTTTTTCACCTGCTGCACCCTGCAAACTTACCCAGTGTGTTGTTGGATGACAATGCAGCACATGTGGACTCAGCGGCACCGAGCGGCTGGTGTTGCAACGAACGAACACCGTACCGCCGGCACCCATGTGAATGGGAAAGGCGCATGGAACCTGGTCTTGAGCGCGGATTTTCTCAAAGATTGGCATTAGCTCGGCCAAGTGCTCGTCGGCTAGGGAATTAATTTCGATACGTTTAACCAACAGTGAACGGATTTATCTTCGCTGGCAAACGGTATATGATCATTTAAGCCCTTGGCAACAACCTAACCTGGCCTATTATAACCTAAACAACCTCATCATGAATAGTGTGGGGTGTACTGTACACTAGCATCAACTCAAAAATGTCGCAAATACTTTTAAAATTGATATATACTATAATAAGAAAAAATACCAGTAGAACAAACATAAATTTTTATACGAAAGTACTCCGTTCTCATGCATTTAAAAAATATATAAAATCGGCGGCGCAGCAGCGAGAGCTTTTCTTTGTCAACAACACACACACACACAACGAACCCAAAAAGGATGGAAGGAGCACTTACCTTGTGCCCTTGCAGGATGAGGAGATGTTTGGATGGGTAAATGGACTGGGGTCGGGATTTGAGTAAAGGTTTAACTTCTTGTCGTTAACCATTTAACGATTTAACACATGTTTCCTTTTTTCAATACAAATCAAGATTGTCCAATTCGGAATTGATAAAGAATTTGTGATCCTATAAAGCTTTAACATATTTAAGCTGAATTATATAAAAATTTTATTACAAAATGAAAGTAAGCAAGTATTTCATCAATTCGTATAGGTAGTTAAAACGAATTATTGAAGCAAATATTAAAACAAGTTTAAGGAAGAAATAGTATTATCACATAATTTCAAAAAATGTAGCCTGATAAATAGAATTGCTTTCAAACATCTGAACTAAATATTTAAATATTTAAGTTTTATCAAATAAATTGTATGTTTTTAGAATTTAGAAGAAAAAAAGGGAAAAGTTTTTTCTATAAAATCAAACAATATCAATTCCGATTAAGGACAAATGTGATAATAAGAGTTGGGTTGGGAAACAGGTGATCCATTTTGTTCAGCTTCAGATTCTTTTGCTGTTTGATTTACCTTGATGATGGGACCCTGTCCACTCATGTATGGCGGCAAGTTGGAGCTGCCGCCATTCTGGGCATTGGGTGAGGAGGAGGCAGTGGCGGCCGCATTGGGCGTGGAACGTCTGGGCGTGAATGCGGCCATGCTCTGCGATACGCCATCGGCCAATATGAATTGCTCGCGTAGCTCAATGTTAGTGCGTCCCTTGGCTGATCCCGGATAACAGTGGCATTGGTAGCATTTTGGTAGCGATTGCAGTTTGCAGTGTCAGATGCATTTGGAGGCATTGATATGCATATTGACATTGGCGGCATATGCACCCATATATAACACATGTACACGGATAGGCAATGTTTTGTTGTAGGGCGAACATATAAACAACAACAATAACAACGAAAGTTCGTTACCGCAAAGTATTTGTCACAGTTTTGTTTTTCAGTTTTGTGTTTTTTGGGATTTTTTTTGTATGTTTTTTTTTTGTTGTTTAGTATTTGGTGTGGGCACAGGCGGGTGCATGTCGGGCGGTGGGCGTGGTCGTGGGCGTGGCGAGCGGGCAGCGCAAGCGAAGAGTATACATTTATGTATATTTGATCGGATTCGATTTATCAAGATTCAATCGATTTTCGGTATAACAAAGGAAACCATTTTGGAAAAAAAGAAAAAGGGGTAAACATAAAATTTGATTAGTAAAAAACGAAAAACGAATAACACAAATTAATACACAAATTTCAATTTTACTAGAGGACGCACAACGAGATCGGTGGAGCTTCAAACATAAAATGCACAAAATGAAGTACAGTCTGCACAGCCCCTGTTAGTTAACAGAGGCGGCGCAACATGAAGTACAGGTTGCACGTTCACTGTTAGCTAACTAAGGATGCTAGACTGTTGAACAAATAAAGCAGGATGTTAGTTCTAATGCAGAATAGGGTTAACGAAAGCATTCTTAATTACTGGTTTACAAATAGTTTTATATGGTTATTTCGACTACCTCTAAAAGTTTGGTGGAGAAACCTGGTTAATATCACTAACTAATAGGAAATAGGTACAGTAGGTAGGCAGGAGTTTTTTTTGGTGGGCGTTGGTGTGTGTTTTTTATGGACTTTTAGCAGCAAATTGTTACGCAGTTATAATATCGAAGCGACAAAAATGAGCATGAGTAGAGTAAATGGCAAACCCTTGGCTAAATTGGACTTTGGGTTTCGTTGGGTTCGGTTGTTGAGTTCAGTTGGCTGGGTTATTGTGTATGAGGTGGCTTTTGGCGCTGGCTGCATGGCAGTTAAAATATAAAACACCCCTTATTGGGCACACTGTTAATCTCGTTTTAGCTTTGTTTAGGCAACTTTTGGACCAGAATTAATGATGAGGTTTAAACAAAGGTTTCTCTTTTTTAAATCTCCAGGTTCTTTGGCTAGTATTATTTTAGGCACAGAAGTTTATTGTTGGTTGGTTTGTTGTTGGTTGGTTAAATGACCATATCCGTTTGGTAATATTATTATTATTATTATTATTTGGCATTATAGTATATAATTAGTTGTTAAGCACAACTGTACCTAGATGTGAAATGAATGCGTTTAAATGAAATGATCAAACGATGCACGGCATCTGGGTATAGACAAAATGCATGATTTTGGGTGGAATATTAAAAATGTGGACTACAAGATTACACTAGAATATTATTGTAGATATTTGTATGGAATGTATGTGACTGGTACTGATGTGGAATGGATGAAGTCCAACAAAATTCAAAAATGTGTGTGTACGCAACACAACTAGATAGAGTGTTTTCAATAACTTCGCATAGATGGTCTACTTACCGCGGCAAGGATCGTTCTTCTGCAGGAATTCATCCAGGGCAACCCAACCGCCGCCAACGCGAACCATTACAGTACTGCGAAGGATGCGAACCAGGCGCAGTTTCTGGGAGTCTCCAAACTGTAAGGAATATATACATTAGTTGCTTGCTTAAAGGTATTTCCTTGATTGTACTCACTCTGTATTTGCCCTCGCCAACTTGGAACACTCGGAACTTCTGTCGGCAGGTACACAGCATGACCAATCGTTTGACTTCGTCGTGAATTTTGTCAGAATCAGTGGCTGGTTTACGTTCTTGCCAATCTGGACGCAGGGCAGCAATGAATTCTTGCCAGTCAATTAGACCCTCGCCATTGCGATCAAACAGATCGGCCACAGCCTTCATTTCCAAGCCAGATGTGTCGAATTCTAAAGGTAAATTAATGTTTTTAGTTTAGTTATAATAAAGTATTAATAAGAGTTATTGTAAAACTTACTCGTGTTGAGTATACCATCGATGAAGACATCGCGTGGAATCATGCCATTGTTGTCCTTGTCCATTTTGCGGAACAGATCCGTCAAGCGCGACTTCTTGTGGTTCATGTACTTCAGGAACTTTAAGTGGAGAAAGAAATGCATATTAACATTATTCAGTTACAGGAAACCCAAGGAATAAACGAAGGAGCTTTTTTGTTTATGATTGTTAGAGGTATCGTTTATAATTTGAATAGGATTTAAATACTTACACGCTTGCGCCAATCGTCCCAGCTGAAGTTGCGGGCACGCTCCACATCCTTCAGATACAGAAGATGATCGTTGAGCAGACGCTGGCGCTCCCATGAGAGCATCCAGACATCGCGCCACTTGGTCCACAGAAGCTTGGCGCGTGGCGAACGGAATTCCAACTCCGGACCCGAAGTGCTAAATTTAATATAGAGATTATAAGTACAGACTTCCAAACATTCAGCAACACAAGTGAAAAACCAAACTAAATTCAAACTTTGTACACGAGCACAGGACATGCACAGCTTTTAGATGATATTGTGGATGATATTGTGGGCTTTCTAGGACTTACCTTGGCGAGAATCTTGGGCCGTAGTGCGGCAGGCGATCTCTGTCGGGCGTGTCACGAGTGGGCGTGATACGACTGCTCAGAGATTTGGTTTTTCGACATAGACATAGGCAAATAAAGCAGCAAGATGCATAGTTTTTTTTTTTTTTGATATTCGATATTCGAGCGGTATGAGCAACGTTTACGTAATAGCGCAGTGTGTAGACAAGATGAAAGTAGAATCAAAAAGAGACAAAACAAAATGGTAAAGTAACGAACAAAATACGCAATACACAGTAATAATAGCCAGTAACATAAATAATACATATATTATAGTATACAAAATCAAATATGTTTTTAAATATTTCGAATAGTTGTAGACGCAGCATTTCCGAAAGTAGTTGAAAAGTTGAAAACAAAAGAATTTCGATTTTAGAATTTTGAAGTACATGCGGAATCTATCTATTCTTGAATACCAAATCTAGTCACAATGATAACTCACCTTCCCTTGCGGGCATTGAGTCCTTGGTCACGAGATCCCTTGAAGCTGTGGAGAAAAATATTATTATATTATAAGGTAAAGAAATAGGTAATATTAAACAAGCAGAAGTTTTAGCAGCAGTGATTAAGCAGAGTGGATATTTTTTGAGGAGTGCTTGAGTGGAATGAATTGTGCGTTAGCAGCTACAGATTTTAGCGCTACTTTGGGGCATTTAGCGAGTATCTTGGTTGGGGTTTTTGGGGGATATCAGATGTTAGGCAATCACTAAGACCATTCGTGTGTGGTTGGTTGGTGAGTAAGCACATTCGCCACTTGGGTAAGTGGATGAAACGAGTAGCGGGCATTAGAGTATAAACTTGCGGCCAAACCTTTGACGCCTCAGGGTGCCGTCGGGTGACTGCTCACGCAGATCGTGACTTGAGCCACGACTGTTGGTCGGTTGGTGGTGGGTTCATTGGTCGGTGTGGTTTTTGGATAGGCAGAGAAATAGGTGTGCAAGACGTTGCGGGGATATTTTTTGGTTTTGGTTTTTGAATATTGTAGCAATAAGGTGGTGGGATACAAAAGAAAGTATATAAAGAGAAATTGGCAAAAATAAATATACAAAATAATAATATACAGAGGATATTTATAATATATACAAAAGAGCTACAGTTTAACCAGCATCTTTGCTTGAGTTTTGATCTACTCACACTGGCGTCTTGCCGCTGCGAGATGGCTTTCGAGCTCCTGGAGGCAGTTGTCTTGGTTTGCAGGCACGGTCCACTTCGTTCTGACGGCGAGCCGTGTTCTCCATGAACTCCTTGTGGTCCTCGATCAACTTCTCCACGGGTGGAATCTCATCTGGCAGTTGCTCGTGCTTCAAGTCTGCAATAAATTTTGAATAACATCTATCCCTTTTCTACTTTATTCAATCACTTACTCAACAGCGTTCCCTCAAGTCCGCTGAGCCAAGCCAGCAGCTCCTCAATGTTGTCGTCCAGATCCTTGAGCGACTGCAGGTGCTGCTCCAGCTTCGACTCGCGGTTGATGGCCCATTGGCGAACCTCCTCCCAGCGCTGCTGAATGATCGACAGCCAGTTCTTGATGATCGGAATGGCATCGGGATAGGCCTTGCTAATGATGTCCTCAGCGTACTCGAAGGTATCGCTCTTCTCGCGTTCGCGCAAGCGCAGATCCTTCATGAACTCCATGTGGATGTCCATCATCTCGCGGGAGACCTTCTCATCATCGGGGGCATTCTTGGCATATCGCAGCTTGTGCTCGGCATGATCCAACCAATCGAAGAGAGCTTGGACACGGGCATTCAGCTTCTCGGCATCCACGAGGGCCACCTGCAGGCGTTCGCCTCGCTTGGCCACGGCGCTCTTGACCTCCTCCCAAATGGACTGCATCTCGTCGAGTTGGCGACCAACTTCGGGATTGTTGCCCGATCGTTCCAAATCGCGTCCCGTCTTGAGAACACCTTGCATTTGAGCGGCGCGCTTCTGCAGATCCTGTTCGATGTGCTTGTGGTGCTCGCAGAGACCCTGGACCGTCTCCAGATCTCCGTGGACGGGTCCGTTCTCGTTCAAGCGACTCTTGGCCTTCTTCAGCCAGTCGAGCAGCTCACCCAAAGCATCGCTGAATTGTCCAGAGAGGAGGAGAGCCTCCTCCAGCTTGCGCTGGCGATCGATGCTCTTCGACCAGACACGAGTCCATTGCTCTTTGAGCTCCAGCAGCATCTTGTCCAGCACTGGGCGATCGCCCTTGGGCGCCCGCTCCAGCAGATTCTTTCCAGTGCGCATGGTGCCGTCGTAAACCGACTGCTTGGCGCCCAGCTGGCGATGCGTCTCCTTCAGCTTGCCAATGTACTTCTTGATCTTCTGCGGCTCCTTGGAGGCGGTGGCCTCCTCGATGATCTGGTCGAGCACCTGTTCGGTCTCCTGCAGATACTGCATCATGCCGCTCCAGGCATCGTTGAATTCCCTGGCCTCTTTGTAGCCATGGTCCAGAGCACGTGTGCGTTCCGCTGCCTTGCTAACCACTCGTTCCCAGCGATGTTGCACGGAAACGAGCAGATTCTTGATCAGGATCACATCCTGCTTCTGGCTGAAGTACTTGAGGTGTGTTCCCTTCTTGTCCAGCAGCAGCATGGCTTCGCGATGGGTGCTCACATCCTTCTGCAGCACCTTGTGCTCCTCCATCTGGGCTTGAATGGTTTCCAGAACTCGAGAGACGGGTTCAGCATTCGAGAGCAGCTTCTCGGCCTGAGTAAGCCACTCCACGAAGGCCTGCAGGGTGTCATGGAACTCGGTGGCCTCCTTGAGTGCAATCTCCAGCTTGATCTTCTTGTCGGAGGCACGGGATACAACAGCATCCCAGCGTTGCTTCAGAGTACGAAGAGTATGCTGCAGGTTGCTGGAGGAAACCTTCATCTGGTTCTGTCGCTTGATGTACTCCTGTCCCTGGGCCTGAATCGTCTCCACCTTGGGCCTGTTCTCATCCAGCTCGTTGTACACCTCCATGAAGCGTTCCAACTGCTCGGTGGCAGTTTCCGGAAGACCACCAACTGGTTTGCTGGCACCAATCACAGCATCAACATCGCCCAACCAGCCCAGAATATCCTGAACCTCGGAAATGTAACCGTGAGCCTCGCGGAGAGCCTCCTCCAGTTCGTGCTGGCGATCGCTGGCCTTCTGCAGCAGCTGCTTCCACTCGTTGTTGAGCTTGCGCAGTTTCTCCTGCGTGGTTGAGGCCTCCACAGAACCCTTTTCGGTTTCAATCAACTGCCTGCCGGCATCGTTCAGTGTATCCACTGAGTTCTGATGGGCCTGAATATCGTTGGCCAAAACCTTTAGCTTGGCAAGCTCAACCTCGAGCAGTTGTGGGTCTCCAGGGATCTGAAAAAACAGATAAATAAGTCAAGTATTTAGGAGTTTTAGAGGGTAATCTATCAACTTACCGGCTTCAGTTGGTCCAAAGTGCTGTCGGTCTTGTTGATCCAGACCAGCAGCTCGTTGAGGGCATGCTGGAATTGACCCAAGTGCAGCAGGGCGTGCTCCAGTTGCTTCTGGCGCTCGACCATGCCACGGAGAAGGGCCTCCCAGCGGCGATTGACCACCGAAAGGGGTTCGCGGATCGATGCCGCCTGCTCGGGTGAAGTGCGTTCCGTCAGTTCCACAGCTTGTCTGTAAGATTCAATCAAAGGATTAGCTAGGGAATTTAGTAAACTTAAATTGTTTTAAAAGCAAACGCAAGAATAAAATAATAAGGCAAAGTGATTTTGCTTTGTATTTTTTTTGGCTTTGCATGCAACAAGTGAAAATGTGGCAATCGAATAAACATGCTCAGCTCGATTCAAAGTTCTCTGCAAAGCAGGCACTTAACAATAATCAATATTCACAACAACAACGAACGAACGAACAAGATTTCTCTTGGAATTATCTTGCCTTTTGAGACCTCTGCCAATTCACAAGTTGAGATAGACACCACGGCAATGGAATATTAGATTTTATAATTTGAATAGAAGTGATTAAATCCATGAGCAAAAGGAAAACCTTACCTGTTTAATGCTTCTACTTCAACCATATGCGGATCGACTTCATCCTTGAACGACTTGAGTTGCTCAATCTGTCGCTTGACGGCATCAATGTCCGAACCCACGGCTCCCAAATGGGCGAACTTGTCCTCGGCCTTAGTGAGGAACTTGAGGAGATTCTGCAGCGTCTCGTGGAACTCCATCGCCTTCTCCATGGCATCGATGAGGTTCTCCTCACGCTTGGCATACAACGCAGTGATGTTGTCCCAGGCATTATCCAGATCCTCGATGTGCTTCTTCACCTCTGGTTTGTCGGGTTCGCCGCACATGTTCATCAGATTGCTGCCGTGGCGTCGCACCTGCTCCACCTCCGGTTTGGTCTGATCGATCTCGTGGCGGATCTCCTGCAGGGCCACCTGTTGCTTCTTGATGTCCTGCGGCTGGGCCGCCGGTGGCTCCTGGCAGGAGAGCGTCTCCTCCAGATCCTTGAGGGTCTTCATCACGCTGTTCAGCTGCTTCCAGAAGGGTTCGGCCACGCTAAGGATGTCGTCCAGCGAACTGCCGCGCTTCTTGGTGGCATTCTGCACATCGTTCCACAGGTTGTTCAGCTTCTCCAGCTTGGCCTTGATGTCACGCACCGCGGGATCGGATTTGTTTCCAGCCTTGGCGATCACATCGTTGGCCGCTCGCTGAACAGCACTAAAGGCATCCTGACGCTTGTCCAGATCGTCCATCAAGGCATCATTATCCTCGATCTGCTCGCGAATCTTCTGCGGCAGAGCGGACAAGGGATCCAGTTGGTTGACCTGATCCACGGTGTTGGCCAGAGCACGCAGCATGCCCTCCAGTTTATCGGAGAACTGGCTGGATTCCTGGAGAGCACTCTCAAGCGCCTGTTGGCGTTCTCTGAGTTCCAAGCGAAGTGCAGCATACCGAGCATTGTCAGTATCCAGAATCTCATTGATCTTGGCACTATCGTCATCGGCCACCAGTGCACCCAAAGCCTCGCCCGTCTTGTTCAGTTTATCCAAAAGCGGTTTGTGTTCCGCAATGGATTGCAAGAGACGCTCGTTCTTGTCCTGCTGCAGGGTGATCTGATCGGGACGCAAGGCAGGCATGCTCAACCGCGAGATCTGCTGTTCCATGTCATCCAACCAGGCGGTGAGTCCTTGATGAGAATCCGCGAAATGCTCGGACAAAGGCAAAGCCTGCTCCAAAACTCCCAAACGCTCGCTGCACAATTGGGCAACTGTGTCGACGATCTCCTTGAGGTCATCCAACTTCTCGCGAAGAGTGGCAGTGTTCTCGCTCTGCGGGGATTCACGGAGCACCTTCTTGGAGGCGGCAGTAACATCACGAACGCGTCCCTTCTGGCTGGAAATGTCATCGTTGATGGAACGATGCTCCTGCAACTGGGCACGCACCAATTTGGGTTCCATGGCAGGAAGATCAGCCTCACGAAGTGTGGTGTCCATTTCGCGGAACCATTCAAGCAGCTCATCAATGTCACCGGTTACCTCCTTAGCTCTCTGGTTGCTCAGGTGCAGGCGCTCCGCCTTGCGTTGGATTTGCTCCACAATGGAATCAAAGCGACGGTTATCCCTGGTTACAATGCTCTCAATGGTGGCGGCGCCTTCTCCCGGAGAAAGCTGGCACAACTGGGGTCCAACTTGATTGATGCTGTCCAGAATGGGACGCATATCAGACAACTCACCTTCCAGTCGGAGGACATCCGCCTGGCGGGGTTCACTGGGCGCCAAAGCAGCCTCGGCACTTTGCATCCATTCCACCAAACGGTTGTGGGCTTCATGGAATTGCTGCACCAAAGGCAAGGCATTCTGGGCACTCTTCAGCAAATCTCCACCACGGTTGGTCAAGTCACCATAGCGACGCTGCAGCGAGTCCAACTTATCCTTCAGCTGAATGGCCTCATCGTTGGAAATGTGCTTCATCAACTCAGCTCCAGATTCCACAGTGGATTCCACATTCGAAGCGTGCCCGGCGATGTTCTCGTTGAGCTCCAGCAGATGATCCATCTGCTCCAGCAGCTTCTCGGCGTAAACAGGAACAGACTTGAATCGCTTGAGCTCCGCCTCCATGCTCTCCATCCAGGCCACCAGATCCTGATAGCTCAGCACCAAGTGACGCAATCCCTGGCGGGATTCGGCGAGCAGAGCGCCAATATTATCGCTGGCATCTACCAATCCGGTGTAACGCTCGGTCACTCCGCGCACCTTCTCGCCCAGATTGACGGCCTCCTCGTCGCTGACCAAATGCATCAGCTGGGCGGCCACATCGGCGAGATCCGTAAAGTCGGGCTTCTTGCCCAGAATCTCGTCGTGCAGGCGATCATGTTCGCGAATGCGCTGCTGGATCTTCTCCTCATCAGTGGGAATCAACTCCATGGCCTTAACGGAACGCTCCGTGTTGTCCAGCCAAAGTTCAAGAGGGCTGATCTTGTCATGGAATCGCTTGGCCACCTCCATGGCCTCCTCCAGATCCAATTCACGCTGTTCGGCTCCGTCGGTCAAAGCATCGAATCGCTTCATCAGATCGTTCAGCTGCTTCTCAATCGAAGCACGCTCGGCGGGCTCACAGTGATTGGCCACCTCCTTGCCGAGATTGGCCAGCGAACCCATCGAGTTCTGACGATCCAACAGCATTTTCTTTAGGAACTTTTGCTCCTGCAGCTGAGCCTTGACCACCTTGTAATCAGAGCTGGGTGGCTTCTGGTTGGCCACCATCTCCTCGGTGTCACTGAGCCACTTGGAAAGACCAGCCAAAGCCTCTTGGAATTTGCCAGATTGCAGCAGAGCCACATCCAAACGACGATCGCGCTCGTTCATGCGTTCCTTCAGATCGTTCCAGCGGTCGTTTAACCTCTCCAGATCCTTCTCAATGGCCGTGGTGGAGACACCACTGCCGGCGGAGCGCACCAAATCCCTTCCAGCCACATTGACCTTGTCAACATTGATGGCCAGTGGTTCAACCTTGCGCTCCCTGAAGTTGCGGAAGTCCTCCTGCTGGCGGCGAATCTGATCCAATTCCGAGCCCACTGGCTTCATGCGCTTGAACTCATCACTGACATCCTGGATGTCGTCCAGGGTTTGAGATTGGCTGTCGTAGAATTCGCGCAGGGCCTTCAAAGTGGCCTGCAGATTGTCCTCATGATCGCGCACTCGGTTGTCCAGGCGACCCAGAGTCTTGCGCAGAGTGGAGATTTGCTCGCGGGTTTGAGTTGTGTCCGCAGCGAAACCAGCATCCACCAAAACGTCAGCGGCACGCTCGGCATCCTCCAGACGACCGACCAGGCGATCCAACTTGTTCTGGATCTTGCCAACATCGTCGAGTTGTCCCTGCACAATCTTGATCTCACGGCCAGGTGGTGAAAGCTTTTCGATCTCCGTTTCCAAATCATTGAGATCGATGCCCAAGCTCTTCATTTGTTCGTTGAACTGGGACACAGCGGTGGCTGCCGATTGCAGTTCACCACAGCGATCATCCAGGCGTCCCTGCAACTCCGACATGCGATCAGCCAAGCCATCGACTTCGTTGGTCAGATGGTCAGCATCTCCTCCAGCAGCTCGAGCCTCAGCACTGATATCCTTGGCCAGAGCCTTGAGCGACTGCAGTGGCTTGCTGAGATTGGTGAGCTCTTCGCGAATGGCCTTAACACGCTCCAACAGCTTGGGATCCTTGGCAGCTCCACCCAAAGCATCGTGGGCAGCGAGGCGATCCTCGCAGCGACCCAACGAATGATCCAGGTTACGCAACTCATCGTTGAAGTCACCCAAGCGACGCGAACAGTTCTCGATCTCATGGGCACGGGCAATCAAATCGTTGTTCAGCCTCTCCCAGCGATCGCGAATGTCCTGGAGCTCCGCCTTGATCGGTTCCTTGTCGATGTCGCAGCTCGTGAGGAAGGTCTCGCCCAGACCCTTGGTGTTCTCGAACTCTCCGGAATGCTTCCAAACCTCGCTGCGGAAGGTCTGCAGATCACGCAGACGCGTCTCCAGCTTCGCCTTGGACAGCACGCCGGGTGTGAGATCGGCCAGTTTGTCCTCAGCGGTGCGCAGCCAGGCGAGGAATGTCTCCGAGGTCTGCGAGTACTTCTTGCAGTGCTCCATGCACGTCTGCAATCGCGTGTGGCGATCCACAGCCTCGCGACGGAGTTTCTCCCACTGCTGCTGGATGCGATCCAAGTCGCGCTTCACACCACGATCCTGCTGACGGTCGGACAGATCCTTGCCCTTGTTGATCAGCATGATCACCTCGTGCTCGCGGGCCATCACCTCACGGTAGATGGGCTCATGGGTGTCGATCTGGTGCTGCAGCGTTGGCTTGTGGGCCGAAACCAACAAACGATCGGTCAAGTTGGAGAGCTCACCGCCCAGCCAACCCAGAGTCTTGGAGCAGTTCTCGGCAAAGTGGCGGCCATCGCGCAGCGAAGCCTCCGTTTCGGCCTTCTTAGTGTCCAGTTTCTTCTGGAGCGCCAAGTACTGCTTCTCCAAAGCGGCCACCCGGGAGTTAACATCAGCACGCGATGCGGGATCACCCAGAATGTTGCACAAAGTGGCAGCGGATTGTTCCACATCGGCCAGCAGAGGACGTTGACCCTCCAACTGGCGCTCCAGGTTCTCGATCTTGCGCAGATTCTCCTGGTGATCCCCATCTGAGGGCAGGGCATCCAGATTATCGCTGATGTTCTGCAGAGCTTCACGCAGGCGATTGACAGCCGCATCGAATTCCTTGGAACTATCAGCAGCTCCACCCAAACTGTTTGCACGATCGTCCAGTTTTCCAACCAGATCCTCCCACTTGCCGAGGATGTCCTTCAGTTTAACTTCCACGGCCTGGGCATCGGGTGTGCCGGCCAGATGGTCGACCACATCGTGTCCCAGCTCCTGGAAGTGCTTCAGTTGCGGCTGCTGAGTGCGGAACTCCTCGCGGAGCACCTGCACCTGTTGCACCTGGCTCTGAACCATTCGGGGATCCGAGGAGATGGGTCCCAGCACCGTGAGCATGCGCTCCTTGCTGTCCAGCCAGCTCTTCAGATTGCCGTGCGTGTCGAGGAAGTCGCGCAGCTTCTCGGAGAAGGCAATGCGGTTCTTGCAGATGTCGTTGAGATTCTTCCAGCGCTCCTGGATGTTGTCGTTCTCCTGGCGCAACTGTTCGGCACCGGGAACATCCGACTTGCGTCGCAGGATGTCCTTCACCTGGGCCTTGGTGGTGTCCAGAAGGCTCTGCTTCTCGTACATGTCCTCGAGGATCTTGCGCGCCTGCTTGATGCAGCGCTCGGCCTCATCCTTGTTGGAAACCGATTCCTTGGGCAGCTGGCGCTGGATGCGCTCCAGGAACTGAGCGAGTCCCTTGAGGTTCTCGTACTGCTTGCGCAGCTCCTCGCTGAGATTATCCAACTCGTGCTGACGATCATTGAGACGCACGCCAATCAGTCCGTAGCGATTGTTAATCTCGCTCAGCTGCTGCTGCACCGGAGACATCTCAGAGAGCTGGAAACCGTCCTGGGAGGACCTGCGGCTACCAAATCCACTGGAACCAGTCGATAGTGGCGACAGGATGCCTCCCTTGGTGGGGCTGGGGCTTCTGGCGTCTCCGGACATGCGGCGCAGCGGACTGGCCCGCTTGATCGGACTGTAGGTGGACCTCTTCCTAGCAGGACTTTCCGGACGAATCAAAGCATCATACTGTGATCCGATATCGTTGATCTTGTCAATAGTGGGAGCATAATCGCGGTAGTCCTTGCAAATGGGCTTCAGCTCGTCGTGCTGCTGCTTGATCCTGTCCAAATCGATGGCCACCGGGGCAAGTCCATTGACACGAGCCTCCGTGCTTGCGAGCCACGAGAGAACCTGATCCTTCAGACCCTCGTAGGCCAGCTGCTGCTCGGCCTTCTGCTTGGACAGCTTGGCGCGCTCATCGATGCTGATGTTGATGTTGCGCCACTGAGATTCCAGTGCCTTGATGCGATCGCGCAGCACGCCGGTATCGGTGACATCGCGCAGGCTAATCAGATCCTTGCCATTGCGCACGCAATCCTCGAACTGCGGTGCCAATTGATCCTTGTCGCGGGACAGTTCGTTCATGCGGCGAGCCAACTCCTCGGTGGAGAGCAAACTGGTCTCCCGACCATCGAGGGCCTCCTGCAGATTGGCCATGCGCTGCTCCACAGTGCTGATCTCATCCAGATATCTGCCCAATCGGTTGTACACGTCGTCGAGGAATTCGCCACGCTTGTTGGCCTTCTCGTAGAGCTTCTCGAACTTGCCAGTTACATCGTTCAGATTCGATTCCACCTTCTTGGCAATGCGGGCATTCGAGGCGCTGGCCAGCAGATGCTTGGCCGAGATTTGAACGCTGTCAATGCTCGCCTGGTGGGACTGAAGATCGGCAAGCAAGACCTTGTGCTCGCGTATCTGCTCCTGCAGACGCTCCTTGATCAGCGAGGCGGGACGGAGATTCAAGTTGTACTTGTCCTCCGCCTGGTTAACCCATCCCACCAAACTGTCCAGGGCATCCTGCACACCCTGCGATTGCACCAAAGTCTTGTCCAGAGTCTTGCAATGTTCGCCAAGATTGTCCAGCAGCTGCTGGTAGTTGTTCTTCAGATCGGCAATGGGCAGTTCCAGTTGGTTGATCTCCATTGGACTGAGCTGGCCGCCCAGGCTGCGCAGCAAGTTGTCGAGTGCCTGTTGGGCATTGTCCACCAAACGGCCGTTGGAAAGGAGCTCATTGTGCAGAGCCTTGGCCTCGTTCATCTGATCTTGGACACCCTTCGGGTCGCCAGCAATTGGTTCGGAGATGATGCGAGATACACGGGGATGCACACTCCTCAGCCATTCGTTGGCCTTGTCCAAAGCATCCTGGTACTCCCGCTGTCGTCCGCCCAGACCAGAAACGCGATCCTGCAGAGCGTTGACGCGGTTAAGCAGATCCTTGTACTGCGCCGAAACCAGCGAAACCTCCTGTCGGATGGGACTCTCGGCAGTCGAAAGCGGCTCCACATGAGGCAATCGCTCGGGTAGAGAAGTGCGGAAGTCATTTAGAATAGCGAGGAACTCCTTGCTCTCATCCACAAACTTCTGAGCGGCCATGGTGATGAAGCGCAGATCAGCCTGGTGACCAATTACATCGCTTACGAACTCCCGAACCGAATCCGCCTGCGAGGGCAGACGAGTCAAGTCCGAGAGGGAACGCTCCTTGTCCTCCAGAGTTCGCCTGGCAACTTGCAGCCAATCGGAGAAGACATCCAACTCGCTGCGCAGCTTGGTCAACTCATCGCGACCAGCTTCCAGTCGGCGGAGCAGGCGAACAGTGCGATCATTGACACGATCCACACGAGAACGCAGCTCCCGTCCTGAGTTCTCCAGAGTGGTGACTTCAGGGGCAGACAAAACATCGCCACCTGTGAGCACAATCTGACGGATTTGCTCCAAACAAGTGGCCACTGGTCGCTGCTGAGACTCGATTTCGTCCTTGATTTGCTATAAGAACAAGAATAATAGCATTTAAGATTGTGTAAAGTTATAAAATCCAAGGAAATACTCACCTTAAGGGCGTTAATCTGGTTGCGCAACTCATCGATCTTCTCGCGAGGTCCGCCGACACTTGAGATTTTCTGTTCCACAGTGGTGACCCATTTCAACAGATCGTTGACATTCTCTTCGCACATGTTGAACTTCTCGAATACTGCTTGCTATATAGTTTATATATAATTTAGGGAGGGCAAAACAATAACATAATTAGTACACACTCTAAGGTAAAGAAAACTTCTTAGCTTGATACGGGTCGCTATAAAGGTTTTTTGATATAGAGATTTCATAGATATCGTATATATATAAATGTCGATAGATAAATGGAACACAAAATATATATAAAACACAAACATAGCTGGAAAGAACACATTTGTTTGTTGAAGCGATTGCAAGGCAAAGACTTAGGGCAAAGCGGGTTTTTAAAGCAAGCATTAAAGTATTATAAAAGCAGTTAACATAAACCAAAGTAATAATAAAGACATACAAACACCAAGGTTTACTACTTCGGGGTACAAACACTACTGGGGACTAGCAACTACGAGTTGTTTTACTTTTAGTATGCACTAACTACGATTTAATGGTTTTGTTTTTGGTTTTTGGTTTGGTTGGGTTTCTGGTTTTATTTTTTGGTTAGTGTTAATTTTGGTTTTTTTTTTGGGTTTATTTGTCAAATTAAAACTGCAAACGAAATAATATATCAAAATATTTATATATGTATGCTGAAAAATAGGTAGAAAATTTGTATTTAAACAAGATGTAAAAAATAATAACTAAAGCCTGGGCTGGAAAAGGAAACGTAACCTTAGTCCAAAACTAGGAAGAGGATAGAGTCTAAAGATGTGTGGGGTATTCCGGGAATATCCAACACATTCAGCCAAACCAATCTCTAACCGCAAAGAAAGCTAATTAGAGATTGGTCTGATCCTACGTGAAATACTGCCTAGGATATAGTGGGGTTTAGAAAAGGAGAAGGGGAGTATATGTGTGCGAGCTCGAATGGAAAGAGATTCGTATGCTAGTGTTATAGACAAATCGAAAGAGAGAGATAGAGTATATATAGAGTATTGAACATGGTGTCCTATTGCCGACGTCATTTATGCGGAGGAGTATGAGACATAACGCATTGCTCTTCGGCCTGACAAAGCGCGATCGATGGAGTACGATAGTTATGGATGCATGTTTGTTGGATGTATTCTGTGATGCACTTGCTGACTCTGATTGCATTACTGTGGCTGCTGTCGCTTGAGAACTTAAGCGATCTCAGCGAAAAATACGTTAAATTGAACATAAAACTGAATGCCATGCGCTGCAATATAAGAGATTTGCGAAATAATAATAAATATGATTTGCAAAATAAAATTGCCAAGTGTTCAGTTCTTTTTTTTTTTTTTTCGTTGTGGAAAGCTCACATCTGGGTTAGTCTGATGAGATAGAGTTTAAGTTTAGAGTAGAGACAGAGATAGACAGAAATAGATAAAGAGAGACAGCGCGCTGATCAAAATGTCTTAACAAAATCGAAATCATAGAATCAATATCGATAGTAGAAGTGTATAATAATACCAAACATGCCACGAACAAAGCTTTAAATTTAGAATTATGGTAATTTTGCAGTAATTTCTTGCAGAAATTCGTAAGTAATTTGTTGCATTCGCAATTCCGTTTTCGAGATTCGTTTCGGTGATTGGAAATCGAAAGAGTACACGTGGACGTCGTGGACTGAGACTTACCCTCTGTTCTGCCGGCAGGAGCAGACCCTTCTCGGCGGCCTTGACCAGGTCGATGTTGTTCTTCGGCTCATTGGCATCGGTCAGGCGGCCCTCGTTGGCATCGATCAGTCCACTGCTAATGGCAGCAGCCAGTGGAACGATGACCCCGGTGCTGGGATCACGCACCACCGTCGACGAGGGATCCACCAGACCCGAGCCAATGGCCTCGGCCAGCGTGAACTTGCGCCGGCGGATGATGTCGGGATGCATTTGGAAGGGATCTACCAGGCAGCCATTGGTCGGGTTGTACAGGTTAAAGGTGATGGCTTCTAGCAAACCGAATGAGCGCTTGGGCGTGCAGATCAGGCCGCTTTCGTAGGCCTCCTGCAGCGTGCAGAGCTTCGAGGTCTGGGTGTTCAGCACATTGGCCTTGTTCGCATCCATCAGTCCCTTGCGGAACGCCTCTGGCAGGCGCACCAGCTTGGCCTTGGCCAGATCCTTGACCAGCGCCGAATCGGGATCCACTACACCCGCACTGGCGGCCTCCTTGAGCGTGTATACCCTGGGCGTCTCGATGACAGTCAGCGAATCGTTTGCGCTATCGTCGCTCGCCGATGCAGCTGGTGCGGATCCAGGTGCACTTGCAGGCACATAAGTCAACATTCCGGTCTGCAAATCCAGACACTTGGACTCGGCCGCCTGGTCAAAGGTGACCGGTTCGCGTACGTAAACAATCAAAGTGGGATCGAAGGCAAAGTACAAGGCCTTTGGATCAACGAGTGTGCGTTTGGTGGTGTCCACGAGACCGCGTTCTACGGCCAACGAATAAGGCAGGAACTTGAAGCTATCGAAATCGCGAACGAGTGCCGTCTTGGGATCGATTATGTTGTAGCGAATGGCCTCCTCGAGGGACATTTCACGCGGCTTGCTAATCACAACGCTCACGGGCGTTTGTCCTAACAATTCTACACTGTCTTGGCGGCGAACAACGTCATTGCGATCGGTCAGAGGTCGCGTAATGGTCACCAAAATTCCACGCGAAAGTGCCACGTCGTAGTTGTAAGCTGACTTCGATTTGGGATCAAATACCCTGCCCTTGCTAACATCAATGTCCCCGTTCTCAATGGCTTCAGTGAGCGGCAGCTCTTTGCCGGTGAGCTGGTTCTTAAACACAGTCGTCGCGGGATCAATGAAGCCCGAGTGAATTGCTTCGATTAGGTCAAGATATTCCCCGGTTGTCGGATCGCAGAATTTGCCCGTTTCGGGGCGATAGAGTTGCTGTCTCAAGACGAGTTCAAGGCTGAGTAGTCGGCGATTGGAGACAATTAATCCTCTAGCCCTAGCTGCCTGCAAGTCCAACTGTTCGTTACCTAGATTGTAGCAACCCCTGGTGTCATCAATCAACTGCTCCTTGATGGCATTGGCCAGCCGGAGGTACTTGCCAGTCTCGTGGTGTTTGACCAAACTGGAGGACAAGCTAACCACATCCTCCACGCAGGCTTCGTTCAGATTGAGCTTGCGATTGGTAACCGGATGCAAAACCTTGCGGGTGTTAACATCGTAGAAACCCATGGACAATAGTTCATAAAGACCAAATCCGGCATTCTCGATGTCTACGATTAAACCCAGACTCAAGGCCTCACCCAAAGGCACAAAATTATTGCTGCCCGGCTCCCGGAAGACACCTTCCCTCCTGTTGATAATACCATTCCTACAGGTCTCACTCAGTGTGTACATTTGCTCTGTTTGTTCATCGAAGTAACAAGGCAGGTGAGGATTAATCACGAAACTGCGCATGCTCTCGAGCAAAGTGATCTGGCGACCAGTTCGTGGATCGCTCAACTTTCCGGTCTTGTCGTCAAAGAGTCCCTGATGAATTGCACGCTGAATGCTGATGGGCGCATTGACATCCATCAGGATTCCAATATCAAAGGCGTGCTTTAATGTCATTGTTTGATTATTGTAAAGTAGTTTCGAGTTCTGGGCATCAATGATGCCGTTGTCCTTGGCGTGCGTCAAATTCAATTGTTTGTATAGACCCGTCTTGAAGTCCCTGATCTGCACACTGTGTTCGTCCAGTAAGTTTGTGTTCAAAGCCTCGGCAAAGTTCAGTTTCTCTCCCGACTTGGGGTCGACAAAGTGACCGTCCACTTCATCGTAGACATTCTTCACCACAGCCTCGATGAGGCGCAATGGCTTCTTCGCTTCAACCAGAACACCTCGATCGAAGGCTTCCTTAAAGTCAATTGGATTGTCATCGGCATCCCTAACCGTTCCCTGTTTACTGTCAACGATTCCCGACTCGGTGGCCACCCCGAACGGAACGATCTGTCCCGAACCCAAATTGACGACCGTCGAATCGGGATCGAGGATGCCCCTACGAATGGCACGTTCAGTTGTGAGCTTCTCGCGGGTCACCGTGTTGCTAAATTGACCAGTTTTCGGATCGTAGAGACCCCGGTAGACTGCATCTGGCAGGCTGCGTTTACGCTTGGGTGGAATAAGAATGCGATTTTCCAGAGCTTCGTGAAGGGACAATTTTGTGGAGGCATATGGATTAATCACATATCCCGCAATCGGATCGAGATAACCCTTAGCTATCGCTTCAGTAATGGAAATTATGGACTCTGTCTTGGGATCGAGAAGAACCAGCTCCTCGGGATTGATGAGCTTCTGGGCAATTGCGGATTTCAGGTCCAGTTGCTTGTCGTCGATGGTGAACTTTGCTGTCGAAGGATCGTAGAGACCACGCAGCAGACAATCGACCAGGGACAACGGCTTCTTGGTGCTAATCAGATAGCCCTTGACGAAGGCCTCATCCAGGCTGATATTGGGCGAACTTAGAGTGCCACGAACAGTGTCCAGCAGACCAACCTTGGCCGCCTCCTTGCCCGGCAGGATCTTATCGTGATCTGCGTCCTTGACAAGCGTCGTTTCCAGTTCCACAAAGCCCATTTCGATGGCCTGTTGGAGGAGAATCTCCTCACCGGTAACCGGATTCAACACCTTGCCAGTGCTTGGCGTGTAGTACTCACGCTGCAGCAGTTCTGGGAGACTCCAGGTGACGCTATCGGTCTTCACCAGACGCTGCTGCACACCCACATCGAAGGGCACAAGGGTGTTGTTCTTATTGTCCTTGATTTGACCCGTTGCGGGGAGCACCAAATCATCTTCGATGGCGCAATCCAACTTGACCTCCTTCTTAGTTACAGTATCCACAATCAAGGAGATCTTTGGATCGACTAGACCAATCTCAATGGACTTTTGTACATCGACCTGGTTCTGACTCTCGGAGTCGAAAAGTTTTCCCGTCTCTGGGTCGTAGAGACCCTTGCGAACAGCAGCCTCCAAAGAAATGGGTTTGCGTGCTCCGGGCACTAGGAAACCTAGCTGGAAGGCCCGCTCCATGGGAATCTCCTTGAGCGTCTGGATGTCTATCACCGTGCCCGCCTGCATGTCCACCACCCCCAACTCAATTGCCATACGCAGTGGAATCACCTCACCGCTGACTGGGTCGCGCACCGATATCGACTGGATGTCCAGCTTGCCACTGTTGATGGCCTCAACAATGGAGCAAACCCGACCATCGTCAAGCACCACCTGTCCGGTCTGTGTGTCAATTGTTACGTTCTCCATGCCCGATGGCCTCTGCTCTTCGGGATTAGCGCGGATTATCCACTGGCGGGCGATGCACTCAAAGAAGGGGATTTTCTTTCCTGTCTTGGGATCCACCATGTGACCAGTGTGCCTGTCCAGCAGAGGACGCTCCAGAGCCGTTGTGAGATTTTCATATTTGCCGGTATTAAAGTTCTTAACCAAAATGGTTTCTGGGTTGAAAACATTCATTTCGAATACCAAGGTGTGGAAGGAAACCTTCTGGCCAGAGCTTGGATCAATGAAGTATTGATTCTCTGGATCATAGATGTTCAGTTCGCTCAAACTCTCGGGAGTGAGTTCTGTATCCACATCCACCAAGTAGGTGACCTGTTGTAGTACAATCAACTTGTCGTCAATGATCTGCACTTCATCCAATGGACTCAGTTGCTCCTCCTTGAGCAGAGTGGCAACAGTTTGTGACTGTTGTTCGCCATCCACGATTACCTGGCACTCATCAGGGCTGATAAGTTTCTGGGAAATGGCATCACCAATTGGCAGAGTCCTTGGGACTTCTCGCTTGATTGTGGTTTCTACTATTTCAGCTGGCATTTCAACCACATCTCGAGACTCATCTTCTGGAGTACCCTCCACGGTTGATGTTGTTGTTGTCGTGGTTGTAGTGGTAACCTTGGTGATTAAAGTGCTCGTGCTGGTTGAGATTTCTTCTGTTGGCAGTTCTTCCACAGTTTCAGTTACCACTTGGGTGGTGGATTGTCCTGGTTTTACTGCCTTCTCTGTGGTCAGTGCATCAACCAAAGCCTTGCCAGCCAGGACAGGTGCTCCTACAATAGCCAGGGCACCCAACTTAGCCGCATCCTTAACATTCTTTAGGATGTTGCTACCACTTCCATCTGCTGGCTGAGGACCCTTCTCACGCTCAATAAAATCGACAACAGATTGATGTTTATCGGAAGCAGGTTGAGGTTGAACAATTTGCTCGAGGTCACCTGGTTGTTGGGGTTTCTCTTCCGTGATAATGGTTGTCTTCGTTGTCACCGTTTCAGTTGTCTGAGAAGTTTCAATTGGTTGAGCTGGAATAGGTTGCACTGGCTCATTAACAGGCGTTTCCTCGACAGATTCTACAATTTCTTGTGGTTTACTTTCATCAACTTTAGGAGTCTGAGTTATTTCAGTAGCTTGAGCAGGAATTTGTTCCTCTTTAACTGTGACTGTAACCTCCTGAGGTTGGCTTTCCTCACTGCTTGTAGTGGTTGTCGTTGTGGTGATAGTAGTTGTTGTCACTGTAGATTCTGTGAGTGTTGGCTCTTCGATAGTGACAACCCTTTCTTCAAGCACAATTGTGCTGGTTGGTTCCACCATGGAGGAATCATCAGTAATCTCAGTTGGCTCATCCACTTTAGTGGGCTCTTGATTAGTTGGTTCTTTAACTTGGACATCCACAATCTTTTCAGGTTCAGACTCCCCAATAACAGTAACGTCTTCAGTTGTCGGTTGCTCTTCAATTGTTTTTACTGTTTTTGTAATTGTGGTAATAGTTTGCGAACTTGTAATGGGTTCCTGAATTTCGGTTGTAATTTCTGTGATCTTTGTTTCAGATACGGGGTCGACAAATGGAGCCAATGGTGCTGTGAAAGGTGGCTCGATTTCTGCAATCTCTTCCTTCTTAGCAGTTCTCGGCTTAGGTTCGGGTTTTGTAGAAGGTTCAGGAGAAGCTTCCTTTCGTTTTGTTGGTTCAGGAGAAGGTTCCTTTTGTTTTGTTGGTTCAGGTGAAGGATCCTTTTGAGTGATTGGTGCAGGAGATGCTGGTTCAGGAGTTTTCTCTTTCTTGATCGGCTCAGGAGTCGAGTCCTTTTTAACAGGCTCGGGTGTTGGCTCCTTCTCAACTGGTTTTGGACTTGCTTCTTTCGTAACTTCCTCAGTTGCTGGTTCTTTCTTTGTCTCCTCTACAGGTTTCACTTCGGGCTCAAAATCTTCCTTCTTTGTTGTCACTGTGGTAATAGTTTCAGTTACTTTGAACCCTGTTGGCTCTTCTGACACTTCCTTGGGTTTCCCAATGATTTGCTCTACGACTTCAATTACTGGTTTATCGTCAACAGTTGTAGTGGTCGTTACATCTTCCACCACAACTGGTTCTTGATTTTCCGTTTCCGTTGTTGTCTTTGAGGTAGTTATTGTTGTGACTGTTGTTGTGGTGAGTGTGCTTGTTGATTCTACAACTGTTGGCTGCACTTCTCCACGTGTTAGCTCCTTGGGATTCTCCTGTTGTTTTTCGTTGGCTATGAAGTTGGCAGTTGTGGAGCTGATAAAGTTCTCCGTTTCGCTGAGAAGATTGTCCACCTCACTTGGCACTTGTTGCGGCTTCGGCACATTGCTACGCTCCTGGTCAATGAAGCTGCTCTGAGGTTTTTCTGGTTTCGCAGTGGTCTTGGCATCTTCCGTGGGAGACTTCCCAGAATTGAAGAGGCTTTTTACCCCACTCACGATGGCTCCGCCGGCCAGCACAGGAGCTGCAATGACTCCGAGTGCTCCCATCTTGGCGGCATCCTTCACATTCTTCAACGTCTTTGATGGCTCTTTGCTGCTCTTTGTCTCGACTTCACTTACACTGGAAACGGGAATTTCCTTGGTGGACTGTGTGGTGCTCACCACCTGCATCTCTTGCTTGCGAGTGTCCGAACTGACCACCACTGTCTGGGTGCGTTCCTCCACTACCACAGTTTGATCATTCGTGCTCGTGGCTAGAGCTGCCACTGATTCTGGACTTTCTCCTGCCGCCGCCTTGGTCTCTCGTGTTGTCGACTCTTCGCGCAGGATTCCAAGCTCCTTAGCCTCTTCCAAGCTGCACACTTCACCGGTGTTGACGTTCTGCACCTCGTTGTTGGAGATGAGAACGTAGCCCTGCATCAGCTCAATGGTTTTGGTGGTTACCGTGTGTACGGCGCGCACTGTCTCCATGATTTCGGTCTTGGGAATGGGTTTCTGAGTGACCACAAAGTCGGATAGATTTTTCACGACTAGAACACCATTTTCCATGGCTTGACGCAAAGGCACGCGTTCCCCAGTGGACGGGATGGTCACAGTTTGGGCAGCAACATCGATGAGATCTCGCTCCATGGCGGTCACTACCTCGATAGCATCGGCCTTGGGTGAATAGGGAATGGACATAATGAAGTTCTCCTCGATGGCTTGCTTAATGGGCAGTGCCTTCTTCGTACTTGGGTGCAGAACCACTCGCTTCGAGGGCTCCACAAGGCTCTTCTCCACGGCCACTGGGAATATCATGCCCACCGGTGGAATTTCCACCTTGGATTTTTGCTTATCATAGCTTGGATCAAATAGCTTCGCCTCGATGGCTTCGGTGATGTTCAGCGTTTTGTTCTTGTAGCTGAATGTGGAATCATCTGCGTTGACAATACCCTTTTCGATTGCCTCCTCCAGTGTGCACTTTTCTGGTTTTTGCAGTTTCGAATGCGGGTCCAAGACTTCGCACACGATCGCTTCATGGATGCTCAGTGGATATCCGCTTTCCGGATGGACAATGGTCTGCGTTTTCGGATCAATTAATCCCTGGGCTGCCAGTCGTGGCACGGATAAACTCTTAGCCAGCGGCATGAGAATATGGTTGGTTTGTTCGGGATCCAAAATCTTTTGTTCCACTGCTTGTCTTAAATTAAGCGACCGATTGCTCTGGGGATCGATGACCTGGCCCCGACGTCCATCAATAAGACCCGTATTCAGAGCCTCACTAATGTTGACAACCTCACCTTTGGGATTGGTGAAGTTATTTGTGTTTTCGAGTATCTCGCAGGTCTCCTCATCGATGATTCCCTTGCGTAGGGCATCCTTTGGCTTAAGGATAACCTTGCGCATTCTCTGCAGAACCACTACCTTCTCTTCGACCGTTACCGGCTCAGTGTCAAAGGACCTACCTCGTTGCAGCTGATCCCTTGAAACAATGCCCCTTTCGTAGGCCACTTCCACTGGGATTTGCTCACCAGTTCGTGGATCGGTAACAAAGCGAACTGTTCGCAAAGCTCCTTCGGCGGCAACCAATGGAGCACCCACCACACTCAGTAGTCCAAGTTTGGTGGCAGTGATCAAGTCGACAGGTTGACCTTCGGAATCCAGAATAGTTGCGGTTCTGGGATCGTAAATAGAACGCGCAATCGCCTCAGTTACGGAAATTGGCTGTTTGGTTGTGGGATCCACAATCTTGATCAGCTGTTCGTCTATCAATCCCTGTCGGGCGGCATCGAAGATGTTCTCAGTCTCCCCGGTTTGTGTAAAGATCACAAGGGCTGTGGACGGATCATAGATGGCACCAGGAGCAATTTGCAGGGGCTCTGGCGAGGCAAGCTCTCGCTGGCAGGTGAGCACCTCTACAAACTTGGGCGGAGCGTCCTTTAAGGGAGTAGAAACTTCCAGAACATCTGGCATGTTGTTTACCCTGGTAATGCGAAGTATTGTCTTTTGATTAGCACCTCTCGTTGCCGGAACCGTTTCCAAAATAATCTTGCTCTCGTCGATTGCACTTCGCATACCCTGCACTTGTTTCCTACTGTTGGTATAGTTGCCATAACTATCCAGAATATCACGTTCGAAGGCTGATTGCACAGAAATCTTGTCACCGGTGCTGGGATCAATAACTGAAACCGACAGGTTGTTGATGATCTGCTTGTTGATGCACTCCTCAAAGTTGACCAAGCGATCTGTGCCCTGCACATGGAAAACTCCCGTATCCGGATTGAACAACTTTTGCTCGATGGCATCCTTCAGTCGCCATCCACCGGGAGGCAGTTCCATAATCTGTCGCTCCGTCACATTTTGTTCGATATAGCTACTCTTCTCCATGTTTATAAATTCGGACACCACACGCTGCGGCTTCACAAGTTCCTGAGTAATCGGAATCTCCACCGACTTCTCCACATACTTGGTGTGCTGTGTGTTCAGCTTGATGGGCTCTGCTTCTGGTATGATTTGTTTGGTCACAATGGTGATCGTGGACTTTGTCTTTTTCCTATTTGTTGGCTCAGGCACGGTTTGATTGCTATCAGGAACTAACAGACCGTAGTTAAGGGCCTGTTGCACGGAGTAAATGTTGCCCGTTTTCGGGTCCTTGAAAAGTTGTCTCTCCTCGTCAATGAAACCTTGACGCACTGCCTCCGTAAAGGTCAGCAGTACGCTGTCACCCGGTTCCTGGGAACCAGCCCTGATTGTCACATAACGATTGATCGTCCGCGTCACTGTTTCCGTGGTCAAAGTAATGTTGAGCAAACTGCTCAGAAGGAGTGCACCCTCTGGTGTAATGAACTTCCGCTCGATGGCTGTATCAAGCGGTACCGTCTCCCCGGTCTTGGGATCCAACAGGTATCCCGTCTTCGGGTCAATCAGATTGTGATAGACCAAATCGAAGACACTAAGCTCCTTGCCACTGGCATTTTGGACACCGATGCCGCGGCTAAACATCTCGTACACCTCCTGGCGCACCAGTCCCTCGCCCACAGCCACCTCCAATGGCACCAGACTATCCCTACCCGTCTCTAAGGCAAAGCCCGTGCTCTTGCGACGCAGAAGGTCACGCGAGAGGGCCACATTAAAGCTAACATAGTCATTGCTCCTCAGATCCTTGAACCCGTCAATATCGAATATCGAACGCTGCGCCACCGAGCTAATTAGGCCGCGTTCCACCGCCTCCGGAATGCTGATTAGTTCACCGGTCATAAAGTCGCGATACTTGCACTCCGCGGGCAGAACAATACCGTCGGCGATGGCCTCCTGAAGGGTGACCAATTCGCCCTTTCGTTTCGTGATGCACTTGAGCAGATTACCGTCCAGCACACCGGCCTCGATGGCCTGCATGATGCTCAGCTTCTCGCGGCGCATGGGACTCGTGATCTGGGCCTGCTTATCCAGCAGATTCAAATCGCAGATGTCCTTCAGCGTGTACGGCTTAACGATCAACTGACGGTTGCGCGCCTCCGCGAAGGTGAGCTTCTCCTTGGTCACCTCGTTGACGTACCGACCCGTCTTGGCATTGAGAACGCCCGACTGCAGTGCCTCCTGCAGTGTGATCTTCGTATCGCGTTTCGCGTCCACCACTTCGCGCACACTCGCATCAATTAGCTGATTGGCAATGGCCGAGTCCAGTCGGAACTTGTCGCCGGAGTTGCGATCCGCTATCCAGCCAGCGCCATCGACCAAACCGTGGGCAATCGCATCGCTCAGGCACAGCGCATTCGACTTGATTGTCACCGACTCATGCCGGATGAGGTAGCCCCGCTCGTAGGCCTCCGCCAGGCTGATGGTTTGACCCGACTTGACGCGGTACAGGCCCGTCTTGGTGTCCACACTCCCCGCGCTAATGGCGTCGGCAATGTTGCGCGGATTCTCCGGCGAGACGATCTCCGCCGTGGAGGATTGTTGCTCTACGGTGACCGTGTTGTTTACCTTGATCCGCTTCTCGGCCGTCTCGAAGCCGGATTCCGCTTCGCTAATCTCGCGCTGAATAACCTCCAGCAGCGACAGCTCCCGTCCGCTGGCATCGCGACCCGCTCCCGGTTGAAGCAGTTGCCTTGCCAGCTGCGCATCGATTAATCCCTGATCGGCGGCTTGTTCCAGCGTGATGCGACGATCGCCCACCAACATCTCGCCGGTGCGCACGTCCAGGATGCGCAGCTGGATAGCCTCGCCGATGGTGAGAACGCGTCCCGTTCTTGGATCGCGGATTCCGGCTATATCCAGCACCGATTGGCCGCCCAGCTGTTGGGAGCGCTTGAGCGTTCGGATTTCGTTGAACTGGATCTGCGACTGCGGCAGGTTAGTGGTGCTGACCTCCTGACTAGCGGCATCCAAGCCATCGCTACTGTAAACGCTCTTCGTAGAGCTTTTCGTTGTCTTCGTTGAGCTGAATCTGCAAGGTTGTAATTAAATCATTAGTATAGAGTTCCCACAGTACAATCACCCATATGGAATTTATATGACCTCAAGATTAAATCCAATAAAACAAATTAATGTACAGGAAATCTTTTTCGACTCGTCCAAATCTCCGAAAGTTTTATGAATATCAACAAACTTTTTTGTGTTCTTTGGTGAACAAATCTGCGATAATATTTTCAATTGAGTCACCCCTTTTGGTTCTTTTTATTCTAGAATTCTTTATATTTTTTTTAAATACTATATAAAGGAACTAAGTCATCCTAAAGTATTACTCATAAAAACATTTAATTTTTACAGCCACTTAAATGATTAAAAATAATAATTTACAAAGTTTTGTTTTCAATCTTTTCACAGATGCCTTTTTAAGCTATAATAAAGCAATAAATAAAAATGTATTTAAAAACTGTTACAATAACTATTCTCAAATCTAACCATTCTAGGAAACCTACTCGATCTCATGATTTTTTCCCCATAATGTTGTTCTGTTTATACGAATACTTACTGTGTGGTGCTGTAGGTGGTGGTGTAGAGATCCTCCGGACGCGCAGCGTAGCCATCGCCAGTTGGCACGCTGCCCGCACTGAAGTCAACCCTAAAGGTCTTGAGCGGTTTCTGTAGACTCTCAGCGTATTGCTAAATGGCAAACGAAAGCGATTTCGGTTAGTAAAAGCCAAAAAAAATAAGATAAGTACATAGGTTCGAATTAAATGTGGAGTCGTTGGAGGCTTTGCGAGGGGGGACAACAAGGGAAAGTGGAGCATGGATGGAGTATTACCTGAAACTCGAACGCAAAGTCGTAGTCACTTTCCTCTGCCACTTGGACAGTCGTGGTTTGGGTTTTGGATTTGGTCGCCTTGCGACCCGATCTATGCTGAGGCATGTCTAAGGCTTTCGTTTGGTTCAGTTCGACAAAGTCATAGTCAGCAATTGGGGTTTGTTTCGTTGGCTTAGGGGCTTCTTGAATACACTGTGCGAGATTTAATTGTGACAGAAAGCAATTAGAGATTTACAAGTTACGAGTTGTTTTTGTTTCTTCGATAGACGCGTCACTTTGAAGTTGCCCGTGGAATCACACAAAAATTGTTTGGAATGTTTATGGCATGCGTGAGAGTGATTTGATATGGCCGCAAGATAAAGTCACCGGCGATAAAGCAACTAAAAATAAGTTCAAGAGTCTCTGAAGCTATAAAACAACAAACTTTTCACAGTAATCGTCATTGGATTTAAAGTGTCAACCGGCCCTAAGTCTTAACTATGCTGCTCTTATTGTTGATTCACTCAATCCATTCACTGGATATTGTTCTCTGCTCCTCACACAGGGATACTTTATTATCAGACCCGCACCGTCGAAGCACACAAATCACACGAAGCACATATAGTAAAGTAAAAACAAAAACAAAAAACCTAAAGAAACGCACACAAAAAGCAAACCCATAGCCTTTATGAAAATAGAAATGACGCTATATAGGGAGAAGGCCTCCGTAGCTTTGCAAATAAATAAAGTGCAAACTCTTTCAAGGGGCCACATTAAAGATATAAGAAATGGGTGATTTACCCGGAAAAAGTTCTTTGTGAGTATATCAGTATCTGGAGTGCATCTTATCGGACATCTGGTAATTTAATTTTTTATCTCCCATTTGGCAGAGACAATGATTCAATGGCAAAATCTCTGACATATGGCTGCAGGTCATAGACTTAACTCGAAATTGCATTGACGTCATATATAACTTTATAAGAGGGCTGCAAATGAAGTCATTGAGTTGAGACTCTACAAAACCGATCAACGTATATGATTTGCATTTTCAAAACAAACAATTAATCTGTTGTTTTTGCCGCTGCTGCTGTTGCTGCTTGCCAAGGTTTCCCTAGAGTTGGTAAAAGCAACAAATAAATTATAATTAACAGAACCATACACCGACACACATTTAGACAGTACGAGTACGAGAACAATGATGTCATCAGAGTGGCGAATATATTTGATTATAAATGAAACAAGTTTGTCGAGCGCCCGCACAACGAAACGAAAAGTAAAGCTGAACTAAAGCAGAAAATAACACAGACTCAATGATTGCTACTCGAGGGTTTCATAAGCAGATTAAAGCGATTCTTGGCCCTAATCGAGCGGGATGCGCTTGACACTGATAACATGACTAATACGCCACGTTGTGCCGGCTTTAAATGGGGCTAAGAGAGCGCAAGCGAGAGAGGAAAAGCTCCGAAGGGAGAGCGTCGTGCAGCATGCAGACTGCAATTGGACCTCGCCTATGCGGCATCACGAAAATAGGCGCCTCCCTTTGGCTTCAGTGGAGGCAAAGACCCCGAAACGCTCGCTTTCATTCCTGATTTATCGTTAGAATGCCGCTAAAAATACGTATAAAAACATATATACTCGTATAGCAGGCATACACAGAAGCAGCTAGTTTAATCGATAAAATCACAGCGAAAGTGCAGGGCAGCCGAAAAAAAAAAGAAAATACATTCCAAGTGTTTCCTGGGAAACCGATCGCTCAAACCAAAACATCGCATCATTGATTAGATTAGCGCCAGCCCTGACACTCCCGCGATCTCGCTCGTTGATAGGAAGTCATAATTCACGCTAGTCACTAAAAGTCACTAAAAAAAATGTGGTGGGAGAATTTTCACATTTTTGTTCACTTTAACTGCAGTTTTAAGTGGTTTTATGCAACTTTTAATGGTTTGAACTCGCTGACTCACTACCAAAATTTCAGTCATAGATTTTTAGGTTTTCTTTTTTGCTTTTTGTGTGTGCGGCGCTTTCATTAACACCAAACTGGCAGCCGAAAATATAACAACATTCCGATTCTTGCGACATAGTCAAGGCTATATTAATAATGTATTTCTTTTATTTTCGTTTTCACACACTCTTCTGTTTGCGTTTCGTTTATATTTGAGTTGTTGCGGAGCACTCGAGTGACTTCATTTCGGGCTAAAAAGCTATAAGCTATAATATGTAGAACTCTTTGCAGCACAAATTGGAACGTGGGTCGCCGGCAGCGGCAGTAGAGAATTTAAATTTCTATTAACAAAATAAAAGCGAAGCAAATCGACGCGGTTCGCATTTAATTGAAATTTAAGGCACCAAGACAGCGACACGGACACACTTTCTATCCGGCCGTACTACTATATATGTGACATCACGTCGGCCCATGCGGCGGATGAGCAATGTTCTGTATTTGACTATCGGTCAGTTATTTGCCTAGTTAGTTATCACAACTATTCACTCATAATTACACTCTTGATTCGAATTCAAATTCCATACACTTTGGCAGCCAACGAAAAACCAGAGGTTTCAAAAGGTTTTGGCCTTTGTTAAGATTCGTTCACCGGCAGCAAAAGACGGCACACACAGCGGATACGCGACGTTATACAACCACGTCGCTTTCGGAACTGAAATGAATGGAGCAGCAGCTCCACACGCGAGAATCAATTGGCCAAGTGGAGAGCGAGCTTTTTCAGCCACAGAGCTCAGAGAAAAAAACAACTGCCGATTGAGAAAACCACTGGCAGAGAGCTTCCAAATGCCGGCTACTTTTCGCTGAGCATTTCACAGCTGTTGCGCCAAAAAATTATAAACAATCTTTTACAATGGCATGAAAATTGAAAGAGGAAAAAAAGAATAGAGCAGGGGAAGGTGGTAACTGTGGAGTTGGCTCCAAATTAAAGTCGAAAACAATACGCGGAAGTCGAGAACAGAGTTTCAGAGGAGCAAACCAGTTTGTGCCGCCTTCTAACCTTCTAAATAACATATTTCGCTGTTCAGTCTAGTTAAGCCAGCAGAGCTTCTATGCATATCAAGTTGGGTTGAAGGCGAAGTGGTAATGGAGCAGTTATGATGTCACTCCAATGCCCGAGGCGAAGGCAACACCTTCGGAAAGCCTCAATAGATCCCAAAACAACTATTTCGGATTACTTTGAAATGGATCAACTACACAGAGAGAATATCAGAAAACTAAAAATGTACTAATTTATAAAAAAATAAGTATTTTAAACTTGACCTTAAAATATTGGAACTTATTCATTTATTCATTATAAATCTTTAAATGCATAGATTTCTGAAAAATTTTGTTTTATGCTTGAAAATATTTTCTTTCAGAATGAATCCTTCTCATTTTCTTGTGTAGTGTTAATGAAGATATTGTTTACAACCTTAACAGAAATAGAATTTCTTGAGTTACTTCCACTGTTATTTACTTCAAGTCCGCCAATTCTTACTCCACTTTTATGGTGATTGCCAGCTAAATATTTAAAGGCAAATATTTAAACCGCAGGCCAAAACTAGCTGGTTAATAAAATTCTTAATTGAAATTCTAAGATGGAGCGGCTCGCAAATAAACAAATCCCAAACCAGTTGAGCAAAAATAGTCAAATAGAGAGGGGACAGGAATCCAAAAAAAAAACTCACAAAAAAGCGAAGAGTTGACAGATGGAATGATTATGGCGACAAAGATGTTGATGACGTCCCCTGGCATTGAATTTCGAGTATATAGGAACCCATATGAATGCTGGGAGCTCATTAATATTTATAGAATTTCGGCGTCGTCATTATTAATTTCGAATCTGTCTCCAATTTGCCTAATTGGCCAGTCACATGACAATAGCATTGTTTATCATTGAAACTCCCCTGACATAATGCAATATTTATATACCTAGATTTTATGAAACATTAAACAAATTACGGCATCAATTGTCAACGCAGACAAGCGGCGATCACGATGACAGAAGAAAAAAATAGTTTAAATTTTTATAAATTAATCAAGTTGTGATTTATGGCGGCAACATTTCAAGCCATTGACGGAATGTTTGGTCAATTCGCATTTGATGTGATGTCATTATATGCCGTGTGTGCTTCTGCCGTCGGTGTGCACCGATTTTGAAGGTTAATTTAATAATAGCAACCGCCGGGCATTCGGAGCGGTAACCGACACACAAAAAGATAGAGATACAAATGGAGAAGGCGGTACAATGATACCAGAGGAGAGACTTCGTCGTACGACGTATTTGCATTTGAAAACTCGACTGGATAGAAAACGAAAGCACAAAACTCGTTTGCTGAACTTGAACCCCGCTTTGGGATTACGACACAATTGAATACTTTGAGCCCAACCCCCAGCCAACGAAGTAAACAAAAATTAATAACCTGACGTCACCTCGCAAAGGTCCTTCCAACAAGGGTTTTTAGTGGTCGAGGTCACCACCTAGATTACTCGGGGTCACCACCTGGATTACTCACCAGACCATCGCTGCCATTCACCTCGATTGCAGTTTTTAGCCTCTGCGACAGTTGTTCCAGCAATCTGTCGTATTTCGTATTCAGGTTATCCAATCGCTGGCTGTAATACTGAGTGGCTCCCGGATCGCTGTCCGCCGGCCGGAGATCCCGGCGAGGTGGCGAAAACGAAGGACGAGCCTCGAGTAACCAATCCACGAAGCGCAGGCATTTACTATCGTAGATCTACTCCCGGAATTCAAGGTCCCGCGTTGACATTGTCGATTTTTTTCGGTTCGTTGGTTGGTTGGTTAATTTCGGTTAAATGTTAGTAATTTGTGTGTTAAACAAATACGGTTTTTGTTTTTTTTGAGGGGGTAAAAGGGAAGGGGGTTTGTTGATATATTTAGTGCTTTTTATTTTATTGATTAATCAATACGAAATTACTTTTTGGTAAAAATTGCTTTTTAATTGGTTTGTTTTGTAAGTTTTGTTGGTTTGTTTTTGGTTTGGTTGTTTGGTTTGGTTGGTTGTTTGTGTTTGTGTTTGAGTTTGTTTGTCAGGCTGTTGTTTCTGTACCACCCAAGTGTTATTCACGCACCTTTTACCCACAAGATAACTAAGAACTGGAGCTTGGAGTCCGGTAAATGGTTTAAAAAGCATTAAATATATATTGAAGAGTTCGATAGAGAAACAGCTAAGAGGTTTTTATAGAGCTACAAGGTGTTTTTTGTTCTTTTTTGGAAAAGGACGGATTTCGGTGTTCGGTCGAAATATCCACAATCACTCGACACAATCATACGTAAGAATTTTGGCACTTAGCCATCATCAACTGACCTATCGCAACCGAATTTATGGTTTGATCTTTGACAAAATATCAGATTTCACCTTTGAAGAACCAAGAAATTCCAGGTTACGATGGGTCAGTTGCCATTAGATCATTGGATCTTCAGATCATTCACACCAAAACAGGCATACAAATTTTTACCTTAGCTTCGCGTATAAGTCGTCCTCCAGCCACGTTGACATTTTCGATTTTTGGTTTTCGTTCGATTGCAGCTCCGAGCAGTTTCTATATATTTCGAGGGGTTTTGGTTTTGGTTTTCGATATTTTCAGGACATTCAATTCATTTTGGTTTTGTTTTATAATTTTATCATTTTGTGTTGGTTTATAGTGTGTGATAATATTTGATTGTTGTGTGAAAAAGTTTAAAATTTTTGTTTGTTTGGTGAAAATACGAAAAATTAGACAAAAATACATATACAATTAGTTTTCAACTACAAATACGATAATACTGGGTGAATAAATATATATATGTATATATTGTGGGCGGCGATATCATTTGATATGGGCCCATGTATAGGTGCAGCTTAAAAATCTAAGGGGACAAAGCTACAAACATAAAAATAGTTAAGTTTTCAAGACTACTACACAAATTTGGTATCAATTTACAGTGTGGTGGTTGGGACGGGGGAATATCGTCGCTATGGATTACGTATATGGGTATTTCTGTGTAGGCGGTCGACTTGGCCACATTTGGAGGTCTGTCTGCTGTGTGTGTATAAATATGTACATGTGGTATGTGGGTGGTGGCCAGCACTACAAGTCAAAGACCGCTGTTGTTGGATTAGACAAGAACTACTGCTAAAATACGGACGAGGGACTTGAGATTGTTTTCTTTGACAGTTAACAAATGGGAAATGGAGTACAAAAACAAAAGACAAAATATAGATATACACATATAAAAAATATATATATAATAAAAGGGGAATACTGAGACGTGTCCAACACCGGCGGGTTTTATCCCAACAAAAGATATAGGAGCAACAACTTTTTGGGAGCAAACTACTTTGGACGCGGGTCAATGGCTACTACGGTTTCCATTTATAGACTACGTATATATACTTTGTGTTTGGCCCATCAAAGGAAAGGAGGTATCTAAAACCTCCTTTGGGGCTGCTAAAAACTGATCAAATCTGTACAAGGATCTAGGTTTTTATCTAGAACTAGAGCCTATCGCTGATTGGATTGACAATCGATTTATTACAGGGGCTGCTTTCATGTACTCACGTCTAGTTCGTAAGCCGAAGTGGCGGTGGGCATGGCGGATAGTCGCTCCGTGGTGCCATCCACCCATGATTCCTCCACTTGCACGCTCGACTGGAGATTCTTCATTAGCCCGATGGCCGTCTCGCATGAACGCATTCTATAAAAAAAGAGTAAAACAGGGTGTTAGAAAGCAGCAGGTTCATCTCCATTTGTGGCGCCCAATGAGGGGCGACACACCACACAGGTGGCGCCAGTTGACTCACCTTTCACCCAATTGATTGCACACCGCACTCCAGCGCGTGTTGAGGCGCTCCACATTCGAGTGCAGGCGCTTGAGGTCGCCCAGGACCTTAGTGGGCACTCCCATGCGTCCCAGCTGATCAGCCGCATCGTTCATCTTGTCCATTTGTGGCTGCTGTTGCGTGATGATGTCCTGCATGTGATTCAGTTGCTTGAACACCTGCTGCAGTCCCTCAGCGGTCGAAGGCAGATCCTGATGACGAGCAAGTTCATTCTCCAGCTCGGAGATCACATGCTCATTGTCCTCCAAACCAGCCAGCGAGGCCTCGAGCAACTTAAGGCGATCCTTGTGCAGGCCACTCTGCGTGTTCAGCTCCTTCCACAGCTCCATCAGATTATCCAGGCTCTTCTTCAGAACCGGAGTCTTCAGGGCAATTGTGCGGAAGGTCTCCTGCAGATGCTTCAGCTCAGGTTCCAACAAATGCAACCTGCGCTCGTAGTCCGCATGGATCTCGAGCACATGCTCCAGAGAGTCCAGATCACGCGGCAAGGGAGCCAATATAATCTGGTCCAGCTCACGGGCCATGTCCTCCAGTTTGCTCTTAATGGCAATGCATTCCTCGGTGAAGATGCGACTGGCCTGCTTGCTCTCCTCTGAAAAGGATGAAGTACGTAATTAATAAAGGTATATTCCGGTGAGGAAGAGCTATTCCAAATGCTGTCAAGATTACCCCTTGTCTTGACACTCGCGAACAGCTTCTTCATGCTTGACTAGGCTTGATACGACTAAGTCGCATTCTGGCTTCCTGCTCGCCAAGTGGCGAGTGCCTCTGAGCAAACACACCAGCATTAAATTCAATTAGCCTCCATCAATTAACCGTTTCGGACAGCTGGCGGGCGCCATCAATTGAAAAGCGAGGCGAAAACTATCTCCTACCCTACGACACTGCCATACGTACGGATACTCCCACACTCACCTTCGGCGCGCGCTCGCTTCTCGAACTCATCGAACAGTCGATTGACCTCGTCCATTTCACGACGCAATCGACGCAGCTGCGGATCGTTGGGATCGCCCTCGCTCAGCAATTTGTCGGCATCGTCGTTGAGGGCACGCCGGATGGCCGTGCGCTGCTCGGGTCCCATGGCCAGGAACTGATCGAAGTCCCAGCCCTTGACCACGCGAATCGTGGCGAAGATCATGTTCTGGCGCAGTCGCAAATGCTTCTTCTGCCAGAGAGCAACGGAGCGATCGAACAGGCGCTTCAGACGCTCGGCGGCATCGATGGCCTCCTGATCGGGAGGCGGCAGCAGCAGGCAAGCGCCGGAAATAGGACCCTCCTGTCCCTTGGCGGTGCGCACGCGCCACTTCACCCGACCGGAGTTGTCCAGCAGCGTGACCGTTTCGCCCTTTTCGATCTGCAGCTGGCCCTGCTGTTTGTACGCACAGATGGCCTGAACGGGTCCTTGACGATTCACCGGCTGGCGGCGCTTGTTCAGAGGCACCACTGTTTGAGCTCTTCGCTGCAGAGTGGCAACGGTTTCGCCAAAGGCATTGAGTTCCTCGCGCAGATCCTGCATGCCACGCAACAGAGTTTCACCCTGGTCGAGGCCAAAGTCCGACTGCGAGAACTTGCTGTTGAGTATTTCGTCACGCTTCGCTAGCCACTGCTCGGCATCCTTGATCTCGCCAAAGAACTGATGGTACTCCGTGGCGTGTTTCAGGTGAACTTCCAGGCAGAGCGTCAATTGCAAAAGCCAGGCCCACTGTTGTTGCAGGGCAGTCAAATGGGCTTCGATGCACTTGGATGCCGGATGCTGTTGGTTCAGGAGAGCCTCTCCACGATCCAAGATGGTGGCAAAGTGCATCTCACGCTTCTCCAGTTCGGACATAAGGTTCTGTGGGTATCAACAAAATATCAATTAGTTAAACTTATAAAAAAATAATCAAATAGTGCACTTGGTTGGTTGCTCTTTTTTATAATAGAAAAATTTCTCTTGGTACTTTTTTTTGAACCAATCGGGATCTTACCTCGTCGCCATTACCAAATGCACGCTTGTAATCGGATAGAAGCACAACACATATGTATAAAACTAGCACTAGGGGGTTTACTCTATTTCGACTGCTAAAACTTACCTCGTAATATCTGTGCACGGAGGGCAGATCGAGTTGTTTGTCCGCCCAGTCGCGCGTGATCTCCACCTGCTCCTTCTCGTTGAGCCACTGCAATTCCGCCGAAGCTTGTCCCAGGAAGTGCTGCAGCGAATCCAGATCGGATAGACGCTTCGTCGAGGTGCTGAGCAACTCGGCGTAGACCTTCTGCAGCTGATTGAGACGCTGCTGGTAGAGGGCCAGCTCATCGCCGGAGAACTTCGTCTGCTGGCGTTCGTCGTTGAGTATTTTCGAGTGGAACTGATCGATGATCTTGTGCTCGTGCTGTTGACGATCCAGTTCCTCCTTGACCGATGGCAAATCGCTGCCATAGTCAGCGGCAAGTAGTTGTTTCTATTATGAAAGAATACTTGATTAGTTTAATTCCTTAAGGGGTTCCTAACTTTTTGTACTCACCAACTTATTCTGGCACCATTCAATGTGCTCCTGCAGATCGCGGAAATGGGGATTCGTGTCGATCTGACGGGACTCGACCACCATGCGCGTTTGACGCGTCACCGTGGTCTCGTGGACGGGATACTTCAAACCGGACAGCTTCTGTACCAGGTTCGTGTGGAAATTGGTGCGCAGTTGAGCCCAGCGCTGGTGTAGTTTGTTGACCTTCTTGTGCAGCTCGCTGACATGGGGATAGCGTCCCTCGTTGAGCACGTGGCAGTCCTGGTTCATGTCCTGTATGGGCTCCTCCAAGTGTCGAATCTCCGTTTCGAGAGCCTCGACAATGCTCTTGGCATCCACGGGATGCAGTCGCTCAATGCGACGTCCCTCTTCACCAATACGAGTCTCCAGATCGGTAAGCTTCTGATCCACATGCTTAATCTCACGCTGCACCTTGTCGGCCAGTCGCTGCAGTCGCTCCAGCCGCTCGATCTCCTGCTGGAGGATCACCTCGCGATCCTGCAACGCCGTGTTCATGCGGTACCAGGCCTTCTCGATGGCATCCGGCCGTAGTTCCGCCTCCACATCGACTTCACCCACAGTTTCGAAGTAGCGCTCCAGCTCCTTGTAGATCTGAATGAGCTTGGACTTCTCGCGCTTGCGGACGCTCACCTCCTCGCTGCGGAAACGCTGCAGATCGCTTAGCAGACGCTTCATCTCGATGAGGGTGGGCGGGAAGGAGCGCTCCTGCAGGTAGGCGGTCTTCTCGCGGCACCAGTAGATGAACTGCTGGGCCAAGTCGCGGTATTCGTGGACGCGACGTTGTGACTCCATGTCGAACAGTGGATGGATGGAGGGTGGCTCCGGGAACACATCGTACAGCGATGAGATGTACGTAATGAGGGACTTCTCATCGGGCTCATTGGTATCCACATCTAAAGGGGAGTAATCCATTAATATACATTTTAAATAATATATAGGTATTTAGCTTACCTTCGGGATCCAGCAGACGCGTAACTCCATACTCCTTCTCCACAATGTGGAAGGCCGTCTCCAGGCGCTCGCGCGGCCGATCGTTCCTTGCCTTTCGCCAGTCAAGCAAGTCCGGTCGGTTGCGGTGCACCAACGCCGAGAAGGCCAAGCCATCTCGCCACGACGACGTGAAGTCGTTGACACGCACGCCCGGATACCGAGCAGTCGAGCGACGCGCCCAGCGCAGTAGGGCCTCACGAGCGGATACGTTGTCCTCTTTGCCCACAACAATATCGGAGATCTGAAAATGGAATAATTAATAAATAAGAAGAAGTTAAGAATTAAATAAAATGTAATGTATAAGGATTATATTGTTGTAGGAGAGCAAAGCTATGAGTGAAGCAAAACTGTGATCGTTTGGTTCAAGTTATTTCAAACTAATAATTTGATTAATTAAATTTACAAGTGTATCACTCATTTGCTGTAAGAGGGAAAGAGATTGATTTCAGTTCATCAAAAGGTTGATCTTGGGTTCTCAATCCTTGAAAACCATTTCCGAAATCCTTAATTTTACCTCTCTGCGCTGCGTGGACGACTCAATAGCCGGCGGCAGAGCACGGCGGTACTCCAACTCCGAGCTACGGATCATTTTAGCCGGAGGCAGTAGATCCTCGGCGGGCTGGGCGTTCTCCTCCGCGCGACTCAAGGTGGTCACTTTTCGCACAATGTGTGTGGTCACACGTCGATGGCCATTCGGAGCTCGTTGCGAGGTCTTCGTACTCTCCACACTGGAACCCAAAACCTCCGTCGAGATGCGTTTGTTCCGCGTCACCGTTTGGTAGTGGGCAGTGGATGAAGAACCTCCACTCGACGGGACCAAGGCTCGACTTTCCGTGATGCGACGTGAATTGCCAGCGGGATCTTGGAAGGTCACAGTGCGTTCAATATTGGTTCGCTCATGGGGAACACTTCCCAGAGGAGATACGCCCGGATAATCCGTGATCACCGCCTCCACAGTGCGTTCCCTTTTCGTCTCGTGGCGATACCGCAAGCTAGAGTCATCGATATTGGTGGTTATCGCCGGTCCTCGGGAGGAGTGCACCACCTCGGATCCGCTGCTCAGGACATCGCCTCTGCCGCCATTCGTTTGCCGCACCAGTTGTTGTGTGCGCTTCAGCGTCGATTGCGAGCTGGAGTGCATGTTATCGCATTGATCGGACTGCTATCGCAGTTATCGTTGCGCTATCGTTAATTTCGTTTTTTCACTTTGTTTCGTTTCGTTGTAACTTTTTGTTTTTCTGAATTCGTTAGAAAATCGTTTCGTTTTGTCGCGTTGCTTTTGCACCGATTTTCGTAATTCTGCGTGATTTTCAAAACAAGTTGAATTATTTGCCGGTCCTCACAATTTGAGTTTAATTAAGCCAAAAACCCAAGCCGAAACCCCAAGCCAAAGTCAAATCCCAAACCGGCACCGGATGTCTTGTTCTATGTGGCATTGCCCTAGACTTTGTCAGAAACCCCATCGAGAACTGAAGCAGAGTAAAATTAACCGAACGGAGCAAAAATGGAGTGAAGCTCTGCAAAGAAGCGAGTGAGGGGTATGTGGAGTAGCCCCATTGTTGTTGCGAATTATTTATTGTGTTGTACGTACACATAATTATCCCAACTGTCTGTCTGTCTGTTAGTCTTGCTCTTGGCGCTATTTGTTGCTTCTTTTACTGCCGTCAATTTTTTTTGTTGTTTGCAAAAAATACACACATATTCACGGTAAAAAGTTAATGTACACCGCTGATTCATGGGCAGAGATTCATTAGTTTCGAAACACGCAAGCCTATTTGCATAGGATAATGGAGAGGGGAACGGAATGGTAATGAAACAGGGAATATGGCTATATTCACCGTTTGTTTGAGGGTCTATTTGCACAATCGGAAGTGAAAGAAAGTTTTTTATATAGTTGCATTGTATTTACAATCTAGGTTCAGCATTTTCGGGTATCTTAAAATCAAACCAATTTTTCGACCAGTAATGATTTTTAATTTGCAAACTCTTGGATTGAAATACAAAATTTTAAAAGATTTGTAAGGAAGTTATATGAATAACATTTTCCTAGAAGTTATAAATATATCCAAATCTCATTGGGATTCCATTCATTAAAAAAGTCATTAAAAATTGTTTGTTTAATTGTCTCACGTCTTTGGACTATAAACAAACAAAGCTTTAGCAAATAGTAGTGTCAATATAATCAAAGCAAACATCAGTCAATTGTCAAGTGAAGGGGCAAATAATTTGCAAGTGTGACAAAACAAGATAGGAAAGAAATCCGTAGTGAAACACTAAAAGCGAGAATGCGATTGTTAAAGGGCTAAAATTATGAGGAAGTAAAGATAAACTGGAAAATATTAAGGGTCCAAGGCTAAAAATAATGGCCAGAGAATATAAACATATTTGGATTGCCTTGCTATTACACCTCTACTTCTAGAATAATTTAAATGGCTCAAGATCAATAAAACACACAGTTGGTCAAACCAAAAAGATCGCCCACCCAAATCGAAAAGCACGACAAATGTTTGTTTTGCATTGGTAATGGAGATCGGACTTTAACTGGAGGTTGTAGCTGCGTTTTACGCCTGCGCAGCACCGTGACAAACAAATACACACATCGCCATTCACATCATCCCCACACAACCAAAAATGCTAATTGCAGCGTTTTAAGCACACTATAAACGATCTGCCTTGTTTTTATGTGATTATGCCAAAACAAAAAATGATAGAGAAATAAGAAGAAATACCTGGGGGCCCCCACCAAACAGCTCGAAAAAAGTGTCTGTGGAGGCGTCTCTAAGAGGCGTTAATAGCTTGACATTCTCAATGAGTCTTTTGAAAGGCGGCAAATCTCCATCTGGTCGTTGCCTATTTTGGGTTTTTGGCTACTGTTCGAAGTTGGAGATGTGTGATTTTTAGAGATGCCTGCCAATTTGCATTGCCCAACGACAAGGAGCATTAATTCAACAAATTATCGAAGCTCTGGGATGTAAATTTTAATGAATAATGCAAGAAGAAACCATTAACCACTTAAAAGCCATCAAAATTTCAAAATCTTTGCTTGAAAATTGTGGATAAATGGGTATGCGAACAATTAGCAAATTATCAGGTTTTGGCGACATCAAATATAATTAAGAAAACATTAAATAAGGCAAATCAAATACTAAATCACCCGAGAGCGAACAAAAGAGATTTAAGATGGGTAATTTGTTATTTCGAAATAATAACAAAGAAATTGTATAAATTAAAAAAGAGATAAAACGAAATAAAGAATATGCAATCCCATAAAGTGAAATAACGAAAGCTTAATTTAGAGATTTGTGATCATTCCCAATATTGTCAGATTTTTAAGGAAATGTGGGCATATAAATTATAATTAATAAGGCAACCATCGACAATGAGACAAACAATAAACCACTTGAGGAGAGCGTTGAAAATTGCAAAATAAAATACGAGACACACACACAAAAAAGTGTTTTTCGAATCTACGAACTGGAACAGCGGCGAATAAACCAAACCGAGACCGTATCCGAAACGAGATGGAATCGGGGGGCCGCGAGATCAGCAGCAGCAAAGGGGGTGTACGTCATTATTTTACAGCTACTTGACTCCATTCGCGGGGCATTTTGTTTGCAAACAAACGAACGAATTGAAACAAACCGTGCCGCACTTTGGTAATAAACTCGTCATAAAAAAATAATTGAAATGGAACTCAATTGCGAGAGATTTCAATCAATTGAAATTGGCGGCATTTAATAAATCAGAAAACCAGAGCGATTAAAGACCAAGATTCTGACATCATGCGAAGTCGAATTAATTGAATGAAATCACTTCGGGGGGCTAAGACTCTGGCTTCGATGCTGGGTTTTTCTCAAACACACACACTTAATAAAGATTTTCCGGGGTTTCGAAAGCGCGTTCCCGTAAGTTTAGAATTCCGGAATTTCTGTGGAACGCATGCGATTTATTGCGAATATTTTAATGAAGAGGGATCGTGAAATGTGTGCGGCGGCGTCTCGACAACAACTAAAAGCGATCGAGCCAAGTTAAAACGCTTAAAGTGTGGCTTTGGCCAGGTGTTGACGCTTCTGTCGGCGTCGACGTTGCTACGCTGCCTGCGCTTTTTTTTGTTTTGTGTTACAGCCAAGAATAGAAGCCCAGCTGAAACAAAGTGGAATTGGCACATGGTGAGCGCCGTCTGCGTCGGCGTCAAAAGTCGGTCTTTATAATATCGGAATATATGGAATCGCGATCGTGCCGACAGCTGTGCGTGTGTTTTTGTGTTGGTGGCTCTGCCGCTGCCTCTGCCGTCCCCGTTATGGCTTGCTGGCTTCGCTGCCGACGTCGCTGCTTCTGCTTCTGCCTCTGACGCCGTTCCACCTGATTCTGCCGCCACTGCGGTCCGCTTTGATGACGTATTTGCAACCAACACCTGTTTGTTTTTTTTCGCCACTGCTGCCATGGTAACTCAAAAGCAGCGACGCCAGCAGAGACGCCCACAAAAACGCATATGTAACGCAGCGGCAACAACAATAACAACAACTATAGCAAAACAAGGGCAACCATGCTTGAAATACCCTTTAATACCTATGGATCCTAAGGTAGCAAACTTTTCTTTTTCTAACAAAATGTTTCATATTTGGTAGTATTTCATTGGAAATGTTAGTTATTGATGATAACTAAATTTGAGTCAAGTTGAGTTCTTTGTGTTCATAACTATGAATTAGTAAGATATCTTTACTGTAAAATAGTACTATAAAATAGTAAGATATCAACAGTATGATATGGTAAGATATCTTTACAATGATATAGTAAGATATCTTTACTATGATATATCAAGAAATCTTAACTATGTTATGATATAGTAAGATATCTTTCCTTATCAAATATTGAACTTACACTGGTTTTAATAGGTATCAATAATTAGGTAATTAGCCCCTATACGTTAAGTGTTTAGTTTTCTTTAGATTGGTAATAGTTTTTAAAAGCTTTGATAGGTTTATTAAGAACTTGCTTTAAATTTTCACCTCCAAGGGTATACAAATACCATTGAAATGAAAAGCCAACCTCATATACCAAAAGAGAGGGTAAGTTACACAATACCGGCTCGAGTTTTCCCTCTCTCACTCGTAATTTTATTGTGGTAGCCACTCATTCAGTGGCTCAGCATTCCCAACCTCGTTGGTAGTACGTCATCCCAGGTAAGCAAAAGTACAGAAACACCAAGTCAAAGAACAATAATAATGGAATCAAGATGTA